CATACATATAATTACGTATTCCTAACATCTTAGAAATATGTGCATGTATAAATATTAAATTGTAGTAACTTTAATATTATCCCCATTCATCATCATATTGTATATACGCTTGAAAGATGCATCCAGCACCAACTCACTAGTAGCTCCGAATTAGTACAGCTTCGCCGAGTAAAACTCTTGGCCGAAAAATATCGAATCAGATTTGATCCATTCTAGATATAGAATTTTATTCTAACCAGCTACTTTAATAGTGACTTGATTAATTAACCCCATCTGACTTGGTAACCATCTGAGTTGGTTACCAAGTCACGAGGGAAGGTCCCTGGGTGTTTCTCTGGGATTTCAACGAAATCTACGTGGATTTGTGAAGTAAAGCGTTGGTATCTCAAATACAGAAAAATTAGTGGCTGAGACTAATCCGTTAAAAGAATTTAGAATAAAAATATTTTATCCTTAGGGTCCTGAGGGAGACCACAGATTGGAGTTTTTAAACGAAAAGTCATGTCTTTCTTGACATCAGCTCTTTCATTCCGCACGCCCATGTTTGCCTACTGTTATCAGCGTTTACACAGGAGAAGATAATACCGTCGTAAAAAATGTATGCCCGTGTGTGAATATCAAGTAGTCAAGAGACATTTTCTATCTCTTCAAATATTTAGGATAGAAAAAGATAAAGTCAAGAAGTTTTTATGGTGATCTGTTCTCTATAGAACGATAAATGGATTCTATCGTAATGATTACTGTTGTAAATTTATACGATTCATCGTAGTCAGATCAAATCAACACTCTCGCTGATATACTAATAGAGCATATGGGCACACAACGGTAACATCTATCCATTCTTGAATTATTAAAATATATGCATGCTTCGATGCATAATATAACACTGTTGCCTGACAGCATGTTTACATCGATTCGATAAAATCTAGGGTAGTAATGACTGGATATTCTGCCCTTAGCTTCCAATCACCGAAATTAAGCGATATACTTCTGATATATTTTCACAGGAATATCACTTTCATTTTGGAATGGTAACATACGATAGGGCATTGGGTTCTACATCGATTTGCTTAAGAATGAGCCTATCGAAAACACGAGTTATTGGTATATCGCTTGGCATTTGCTATGTCGTTGGCAGTGAGTGGTATGTGAGCTGAGAATTGTGTTCAACTAGTTATTTAGTGAACCAGTAGAAATTTACAGCGTTTAATCGACTCTTGTAAACATGCATCTATCAATTGATAGCACTTCAAAAACTCTTCATCATTGCACGTTTTTCAGATTCCAAAGAAATTGGTCGATTAAAACTTCCCTATCAGATTCTTCACCAGCTACGATTTTATCACATTTTGATTACTGTTCCGGAGATTTTGGTTACAAAAAATACAATATGCAAAAAAGCTCATGAGACATTTGGAATCAGGATTAAAAACTGTGTCGACCTATGAGTGTCTGAAATTTGTTCTGCGAACCTGATTTTTCGTTAAAAACAACAAGCTGTGGTCCTCCTCAGGGTCCTAAGAATAAAGTTTTTTTATTCTATTTTCTTTTAACGCATTGGTCTTAGTCACTAATTTTCCTATATTTGAGATACCAACGCTTGACTTCACAAACCCACATAGGCTTCGTTGAAATCCCAGATAACCGCCCAGGGACCTTCCCTCGTTAGATGATTTTCACTGACAAGGGAGCATTCCAAAGTGATTCGCACCATTTGGATTCATATTGTGCTCATAAGTAGGACCCAGTGAGACTAGAAAAGGCCTAAAAGATTTCGTGTCATTAGGCCTTTCTTTCAAAGTTATGACCATTTTAGTGAATTTTTGGCCGTTGGCCAGGAATTTATAGAAAAACTGAATGAAGGAATTTTGAGCTGAAAATTTTCTTAACAATAGGCCNATGTTAGAAGTCTCCAAAAGTTTCAGTGAAAACGGATGCGCCTTTCTCGAGATATTGAGTATTGAAGAAAAATCAATTTTAAGATAGGTTTTGGAGAATCGCCGTTTTCATCAATATGCAATATCTCGAGAAAGGCGCATCCGTTTTCACTGAAACTTTTGGAGACTTCTAACATCGATGAGGCCTATTGTTAAGAAAATTTTCAGCTCAAAATTCCTTCATTCAGTTTTTCTATAAATTGCTGGCCCACGGTCAAAAATTCACTAAAATGGTCATAACTTTGAAAGAAAGGCCTAATGACACGAAATCCTTTAGGCCTTTTCTAGTCTCACTGGGTCCTACTTATGAGCGCAATATGAACTCAAATGATGCGAATCACTTGGGCATGTTCCCCTGTGAGTGTGTCTGTTATGCTCCGCACTAAATACTCGTCTACATCTTGGTGACTTTTCAGTGACACATCAAAAGATACAGAATTTCAAGCGCTACCAGAATGCATAGCTGCTTTCGTATTTACCTAAGTAGAAAATTTAAAAAAAAAACGAACAAAAGTTGGTTTTTGAGAAATGTGAGGACTATGATGCCTTTATTGTGCTTTATTTTTTTTCTCATCCAACATGTGTTATTCAAGAGGTTCTTGTATAGAATAGTAGAGAATTGCACGCGCTATCAGAATATGCCCGAATATTAGAATATATAAAAATAATATATGAAAAATAAACGAGCACAAGTGTTTTTTTCAAGTGAATTTTTCTTGAAAATATCATGATCTTATTGAAAAACTTCGCTACCGACAATCAAAATAACAAAGTTTTGAACATATCATCCGATGCCGTTTGATGTGCTCTTTCATATGAGACTATGTTTGAATTCACCCACCTCGCTGATATGACTAATCGGCCTTATACACTGGCACCCTATTTTCTGAGCCAGATCGATCGCACGGAGAAATTTTTTAAACATAAGATACTTTCAATACTATGAATCGATAGCCCATTACACTATACTATTAACGGTGAGAAAAATTTTGTTACAGCTCTTATCGTTCTTGAGAGAATGAACATTTACTGAAAATTATCGAAGTACAAAAAATCCGAACCCGTCTTACTTCGAGTGCATATATTTCCAGAATGGATCATCCGTTCGAGCTGAAATTTTCAGTTTCTTCCTAACTTTGTTGGGGCTACTTACTATAAAAATATGAGCCAAATCGGTGCGATCGATTGAGCAAGGTTGGTCGTGACTTATCTGCAATGCCTCCTATTGCGGAGAAAACTCCGAAATCCAACGGTGAATTTCTGAACTACCTAGGAACATTCTCATAAATCAACCCATAAATCACACACTATAGAAGTTACCTACGGGTATGATTCATTCCAGCTTATATAGTAGAGACGTCTATCAATCGATCTATCACGAAGGCTCTCATAACCTACACAAGCCTGTTATTTCAGGCATATCCCCTGCTTGAAATTCAACGAGTTAATTTGCGAAAAATAATCAAAAAGCCAAGAAATACTGCCTGAACTGGCAAATCATTTTCAATGCTACAGTGGAACAGGACCGCAAAGTCTGACTGGTATACTGAACAACGTTAAAGCTAACTATCTATCAGCACAATTATATTAAAATTTATTCAGAAACCAAAACTCTATACTCCAGAATAATCTGGCAGCTCCTTCATTATTTTTATGATTTCTGATACATTTCCAGGATTTTTAAGTCTTTCATCATTTATCAAAAAAAAGTATCATAAAAACATCTGCTGTCATGCTTAACGCAGCATCTGCGACAAACCCTATCATTTACGGCTCACTTTCACTGAAAAAAATTCAAAAGCAGGATTTTTGCATCTTAAAGGTTATGAATAAGGACAGAAGGCGTGCCATGTTCCAACTTTTAACTAAATATTACTCTAAGTCCACGACATCATTTATCAACCTCGCCAACTCTTCACATTCACCTATATCAAATTATTTCTGCTCCATTACAGTGCCACTCCGGATCTAAAGTTGATCGAAGCCGGTTTCTATCACATACCAGACCGAGTAAAAATCATTTTTTACGATTTCACTTGTAAATCAGAAACTGCAGCTGTCTGAATGTGCAACATTCAAGAAATCCTATCGATATTCACTGAAAACACCAGAATACATAGACTCAAAAAAAAAGAGGTTCCACGCGGAACTTAATTTGCAACGAAATCGAAACCTTCTTAGAGGTTTCGTATGGACCTAAGATGCTTTCAAAAGACTTATAAAGAGTCTAGAATACTTTTTTTAAGGTTTAGATGAAAGTGTACGAAACCTTCAAAAGATTTAGATTTCGTTGCAAATCTCGAAACCTTTTTTAAGTTCCGTAGTATGTACGAAACTATTTTTAAGTTCCGTAGCACGCACGAAACCATTTTTGGCGCTAAAAGGTTCCGCATGGAACCTTTTTTTTTTCAGTGTAGGCTCCATATAATCTCTAGAAGCCATATGTCACAAAGACTCGGAAATCCCACTGGACCTTTCGCAATAAATCGAACAAAAACATCGTTTCCCTTTGCAAACGAGTTAAACTTTGATGTCGATCTATATGGAACATATTCCTACATCAAATTCTTGTTGAACACTACTGAATGGATCCACTAAAATAAGAAAAAAATCTTTAAACGTATTTCTACGATCGGAAAGATCCAATTTTGTAACAAACATCAAAGAGATTTTAGTGATTCTTCTAATTTTTATCACCAATTTCCATGCGTGCTAGTACTTGTGTTACCCTATGTCAGGATTTTTGTATTTTTTTAACATGATCTTCACTGCAAGTAACAACCAATGATTTTTGACCATTTCCACTTAACCAATTTTCCTGTATCTCTTGCATAAATACTCATCATTTAAAGGTTTCTTATTCTCGATACTATATGGTCAACCGTAAATAACACCATAAACACTCATTGTTATTGATGTCAAATATCATTATCGCAAATTATTATCTCTTTTCGATGAATTATATACGAAAAACATTGCTTTTAGCAGGATTTCTTTGATACTTTTCGTATTTTCTAGATTTCTCATGATCCCTGCTACAGGATGGAGCACAAATCACCCAATATGGATCTCTTGATGCTATCCAGTATTCTCTACGATGCTTCCTTCAAAAGGTGATTTTAGCAGGATTTCTTCGATGCTTTTCGTATTTTTCAGATTTCTCATGATCCCTGCTGCTTGATGCACGGAAAACCATAGGGACTTAGCTTCGGGTGCTCTCGGTAGACTTAGGGTATATACAGGGCTCCGAAAAGATCTGTTGGAAGTATGATTTCTGTGATTTTCGGTGTGATTTCTATGGAAATGTAGTAGAATTGATGTCTGTAGTGTGCTCACTATCGATCGGAGGGGTTTATGAATGCATTTTTTCTTTTTGTTTAGAATTACGGCCGTAAACGGTCGACTACGACGTTGTTACGGTCGTCTACGTTGCAGTGCTTGGTCGTTTCCTGTTTATGATACGGCCGTGTACGATCGGATGCGGCTTTTAAACAGTCGCTGTGTTCTGCCGTATACAACACGGCGATATGCGGCCGTAATACGGCGCATACCAAAACGTTAAAATACGACCCGTATACCGCCATATCTAGTCGTCGTAATGCTCGACCTGGGAATGCAGAAAGAAAACATGAAAATTAAGGTTTTCTACATTATGAATATAGAAAATATGAAGTGAAAGTTCATTTTTTTGATATCATTAATATAGGAAAGTAAAAATCTAGAAATGGGATTTTCTGTATTTTTCATATAGAAAAGTAATATATAAAACTAGCTGTTAGTTATATGGTTTGAATACAGATCAATATGAAATAGAAGTAAAAGTTTTCTATTTTCTCACTGTACAGAAAAAAATGCGAAGTATAAGAAACTCTTTTCTATAGTGCTAGTATAGAAAACTAATACGCACACAGCTTCATACTGCTTTTTAACTACTATTCTCCTTAATAAAATCAAATAAATCAATAGTTCTCGAATAAGTAAAAGAAACTGGCAGATCATACACGATCAGATAAGAACAGACAAGATTTACATTACGTACGTATGTATGTTTCTTTTATCATGAATATTATATGATCTTTTACGATCAAGCAAGAATCGTGCAGCCTGTTCGTATACGATGCTTAAGTTTCAAATCTTATAAGATTTTTTGCTAGCATCTTACAGACAGAATCTGACGAAATCTTAGAAAAAACGAACACGTCAGATATTGTATGATCTTGTGCCAAAATCATACGAAAAATCTTATAAGGATAAGATCTTATACGGCCTTACACGATCTGACGTCTGGGTTTTCGACCTGGGAATTGATGAGAGATATTCCCAGGGCAAACAATCAGATGTTAAGATCTGATAAGATTATGCATCTGATCTTATATGATCGTGTAAGATCCCACAAAAAATCGTACAAAAATCGTAGTCTCTGAGATCTTAGATCAAGTCGCAGAATCAGATTCTTGAAGGATTTTATCAATGTGTACGATCTTTCAAGAATCTGATTGTGAGACTTGATCTAAGATCTCAGAGACTACGATTTTTTGTCAGATTCTTGTACGACTTCGCACATATTCCAAAATCTTGTAAGTATTTCATAAGATCTTGTGTCAGATTCTTCGACCTGGGTTGTCACACTAACACTTTTGTTTGTCGTCTCTTACCTAAGATTCTATTATTTTCACGGTCATATGATAAGAAGTCAATACTGTAGTCCTTAATTAATATCCAAGCAATCTCAATGTCTTGGTCGAAATCTTTTCACGAATTTTTTTTAAATATGGCTAAAAAAAATAAAACAGACGACTCCGATTGTTCAATTATGTTTTAGAAAATTTGTGTATTTTTTGATTTAAAAAAAACTCTTTATTCATTCTTATATTTTAAAACCACTTTAAATCATATAATTTTATAATATAATATAAAAAACAATACTTTATTTACTATAAGAAACGAACATTAAAATTAACATAGAAAAAAAGCAAAACAATTAATGTCTGCTCGTAATATTAATAATAATAGTTAATTCATATTTTTCTTCTCTCAATGGGAACCATGTTTGCCTTTGTGATATTTGGGTTTTACAAGTGTAGTTTTGTGCTTTTATTGTAGCTTTATTAGATTAAAAAGTTGCATCATGATGATCACTTAGTTTTCTGCAAGGATTAAATGCCTTTTCTGTTCGCTTCCAAATGTTTGCTTTAAACAGTTTCTTTTGCTTTGTCAACGCCAACTTTCATAATGACCATTGATTCTATACAAAAGAAATACTATAGTATAGAATACTTGATACAAAAAGAAATCTAAAACAAATTTTCTATATATATATATATATATCGAAAGAATTGTGAAAATACTAGATTATACCTTAGTCATTTCTATTGAGAGAATGAAGTTAAATGAGTAAAGTCTTCCTATTTATTACAACACAAAATAAGCAGAAATATTAGCTTACTTTCCTATTCTATTTGTTTGTTCCTCTTCCAATCTACATGCATCTATTTTGAAATAATTTCTGTATTTATGTTAGAGAATAGAAGAATAAAGGTCGTGCACTACGAAGACAAATCCTGAATCATGTGTATGTCGCACGTTATTTAGAATGTGGAGCGGTTATTACTTACTCCGTGTGATTTATTGCGTAGTAAGAACAAATGTGCGTGTGTGACAAACTGCAATAGACTCGCCAGTGGCGGATTCAGAAATTTTTAGAGGGGGCGGTGCTTTCTAAATTATATAATATGGAGCAGAGAAATTTTTTTCGAAAATATACAAATCAGAGTACTACAGTTTTTTTTTCCATTGCTGATTTAATTTTTGCGCAATAAAATCTGAACTTAGCGCATTCATCCATGCAAATTAGTTACAATTCACCAGATTTTTCTAATTACATCTTTTCATGATTTTTTTGGTGGAACTTTTATTATTAAACTAAAATAGTTTTCGAACCTTTGACACCAACATCTTGTGGTTTATTTTCTTATTGAAAGATATGATTTGGTGAATACAAGAATCGCAGAAACATTTCGGGTAGCACTTTAAAAAAAGACAGAAATGAAGCTGAAAACGAACAAACGCTATTTATATTTTTTGATCTACTACTTACGTAATATTCAAGATGATGACAATCAATTATAGTTTTTCGATTCCCTTCAGTTATTTTCGACCTTCTAATATTATTTAAGCCTTTAAAAATATTTCGTTGTCCAGTCTATTCTCAAGGGGTGGCGAGCGCCGGGTAGCCGAACTAGTAGATCCGCTAGTGAGACTCGCTCCGTCGCTTAGAACGATATAGTACTCTGTATTTATAGCATACTTAGAAACAAAAATAAATGTGCAACATATTGACAGATAAAATTTATATTAATAGAAAATATAATTTTAAAATACGACCTTTCTTTTATTTGAACAATCAAAAAAACTGTTTACACTTATATTTACTATTTTAAAACGTTTCGACTTAAATTTTATACAATGAACGCTTTTGAAAGCATCATAATTTCAGTTTGAATAATGCGAAACGTCAGTATCAATATATGTACGTTAAAAAGGCAATCAATTAAAATTCATGTATGTATATTTCCGTGAAGCCACCCGTAAAGGATATCCGTTAGTGGGAAAAGGCGGAGGGCAATCAAATTCGTATAATTTCACACAGAAGATAGAAAAGATGAATCATATACGTGCATAAAACCAATCTCTCGCTCTCTCAAAGGATTTTCTACGAAATAATTTAAAAATTTGACGTTTACAAAATGAAATTCAATCAAAATCGAGTAAGTCGAGACTTGAGATATCAGAAAAAGAAAAGATTGTTGAATCGACTTCATTTATGCATGACTTCTAATAGTAACACTCCTAATTGCGCAATGTAATATGAACAAATAAATCTCACCCATCGTGTAGAACAATGATTGCTAGGCAAAATTTATCGTGCTTAATATTTAATATACTAAATTGCATGAAGCTATGTTGTACAAAAAATTATTTTATTTTTTTTGTCAGAGTTGTATTTCAAATAAACAGATAAGATGCAGTTGTTCGTGTGAGCATAGCTTCTAAGATTAGTCTTACAGCGTCTATCTGCTGCAGCTATTGATGTATGTTGCCGCTAACATACATACAATTTCGTATTTACACAATCTATTGAGAAAATGTAATATTGATATACAGTATTTACTATATATTCAATAAAAACCATTTTATTGTCATCAATCATAATGTTCGTCGAATCAAATCAAAAGGAGTCGTTTGAATTGCTCTTTGATGTATATGTAAAATGAATAGTTAAATCAGTAGTTTTTGAAAAGACAAACACTCGATGTAAGTCTATCAGAAATGAATGAGACTGTATCATGATGTTAATTGGTAAGATAAGTTGATATTTACTATTATTTCATACATTTATAAATACACTTGACAATAAGTATATTTTCAAAAAAAGAGAAGAAAAACAGATGGACTAGTCAATAGAATAGAGTAATATCATTAATCAATGAGAAAATTTCTTTCTTTTTTTATTTATTACTTGTATAGAATTTTATTGATTCTATTTTAGATTATGTGATGCAAATGAAAAAATTTTCTAAACTGCATTATTTGTATCTAAGATTGAATAATTTAATGTGAACATGAGTATTGAAATGCAAACCAAGGCAAAAAAACACTTCAAAATTACTTTACTTAACCAAATAATTCTTTGGGATCAAATGAAAAAAGCTCGACGCTAACTGTTTCTTACATTTACAACACATTGCCTATATTCTTCTCATCACACCTCATTAAAGAGATGAACTTTAGAGATTATTATTTGTGATCTATCTAGTCATTTCAATCTTCAACTACATTGTGTGAATCTTTCATATTGTCAATTCAGATAATAATGTGATATCCGACGTGTTGTGCATCTTCTTAAGACTAAAATATTATTTCAATAATAATCTTATTCATAAACATGTTAGATATTTTCAATTTCTCAAAATTTAACATCGATGATTTCATTGTTTTTGTTTTTATTACCAATGATGTATACCGAAAAGAATGCGCAGGGCATTTATTCGTTTCTCAGTCGAATATAATACAAACATGATGAACGCAGATGCATTCGTCGCCGCGTTAATTTTGTTTTCTTCTCTTTTTCTCTTTTTCTTACCGCCGACAACATCGTCTTGCCGTCAATGTGTTACTTTCTTTTGACAGTCTGTTGGCGTTGGTTTTCTTTTCTCTTTTTTTTGTCTACTACCGTCCGTCAGCCTTGACCAGTGGCCGCGAAAAGAGAGAGAAGTGAGCCTTGTCATTGTTCTTTCTTCTACATTCTCAGTGAACGGACGACGACGAAAGAAATGAGTGGATGGTGAATGAACACATCATTCCCTCTTCTTTTTTGTTCTATTTGAAGGTCAGTTCAAACACACTGCCGCTTTGTTAAACATAAAAAAAAAGAACGACGATTTGCGACTTCTCGTTTTACTCCACCCATCGTTTTCAATGATCAAAGACAAGCAATGATGTATACAATTTAAAATCAAACTAAACGATATTTTTAAAAACTTAACTCAATGGCATCACCAAAATATCAATCAACTGACTTTCAAACACCAATAAAAAAAAAGTGTTCACCGTCACCATTAAGTTCGCCATCGTCGATTTCAACAACATCAACAAATCCAAAACAACGTTCAATAACCGATAGTAGTAATAACAATGATGAAACAATTACAACAATTAAAATGGAAGATGGTAATGATGAAGTTAAAGTATTTTCGGCATCAACAATAAAGAAAAACGAACCCGATGATGATATTGATGTCGATGGCATTGAAGATCGACTTTCGCCTGTTGTTGAAGAACCCGTGAGTTGAAATATTTTATTGAAAGAAAAAGAAATTTTCATCATCGTTTTTTTGTTTTTATTTAGACAAGTCCAAATAAAAATGATACATTCAATAGTAGTATTTCAGGTTTATATGCATCGCCATTTCTTTATCCATATTTTCATCCAATGTTTCATCCGTATTTAATGGCTGCAGCTGCACAAGCGAATGCTGCTGCATCATCGACAGTAATTAAATTTCAAGGAATTGATTTCAAATAAAATACATAATTTATTTTTCTTAAGGATAAATTAGCAAACGATGGACAAAGTCATCCATCGAATCCATACGGTTCTGCGCCTTCATCATTATCTCCATTTCCAGGTTTTAATCCAGGTAAAAGAAAAATTTTCATTTCGAACGAATAAAAAGTAACAATATTATCCTATTAGGCATGTCTTTTCCTTCGTTATATCCACCGGGAATGCCCAATCATCAATTTCGACCAAATCTTTTTAATCCCTTTGGTATTCCGATTCCAGCACCCGGTGTTCGACCTCCACAACCTCCATCATCTTCGTCTTCTTCATCGTCTTCTAATCGTCATCATCAAAATTATGATGGATCTCCTCGAAAGTATGATAAACGAATGCACAAGAAATTAGTTTTTCTACCTAAAGCCTACTATTTTTTTTTCAGTCTCAGCGCTTTACTTGATGCACAACGACCTAAAAAACCTCATATAAAAAAACCATTAAATGCTTTTATGCTTTATATGAAAGAACAACGTGCACGTGTTATTGAAGAATGTACATTAAAAGAATCATCTGCAATCAATAAAGTTCTTGGACAGAAATGGAAAGAATTACCTCGATCAGAACAAGATAGATATTATGGTAAAATAAAAATACATCAAGAAATCATTGTTTTTCTCATTGAAATTTTAAATATTTTAGAATTAGCCAAAGAAGAACGTAATCGTCATATGCAATTGTATCCAGGATGGTCAGCTCGTGATAATTACGGTTTGAAGAAGAAACGACAATCAAGCGGTAATACACCAATATTAAATAATTCACATAAAAAAGCACCAAGAGAAAATAACTCTATGGTCAATAGTCCAGGACATTTAAATCATAATAGTCCACATCGTTATGGACAACATCAACAACATTTAATCAATAGTCCACATATGAATTCAACGAAAAATCCAATGCAACTAGAGAATGGTAATAACAAAAAAACGTTAACAGGTTTAGGGACGAAAATAATTTCCACTTTTTTTCTCCAAATAGATTGCTTAAATCAAAAGAAATGTCGTGCCCGTTTTGGATTAGAAGGCCAAAGTCAATGGTGTAAACATTGTCGACGAAAGAAAAAATGTACGCGATTTCTAGAAGACGATATGCTGAATCATGCGAATAATAATAGTCATACTAACAATAATATGTTAAATAATTATCATAATTCATCCTACAATAATCATGGTATAAGTGTTAGCAGTAATGGAAATCCGTCATCGGTTAGTTCTCCACGAACAAATAGATCTGATAATGATGACGATGATGATGATTCAATGAATGAACCCGATGGTGATGATATATTAACAAGACAAGTAGATTCCATTGAAGACGATGACGATGAAGAAGAAGACGACGATGATGAACATCATACTAATGACGATGACAGTGATGAAGAAAATAAACATCATCATTCTCATCATCATCAACAACAACAGCAGCCTGTTTCACTAGTTTATAAACCAATTCCATCGAAAATTGATTCTCATCAGCAAGCATTTCAACCACCACCACCGGCACATTTATATCAACCTTCCATGTTACCATCTCATTTTGCGCCTAACTTTCATTATTAAAATACAGTTGTGTCTAATATTTTTTTTTGTTCAACAAAAAAATTTTGGTGCTTAATCTTTCTTCGTTTGTAAATTTCACTTCTATATGAAATTCTTTGACTCGAGTGACAAACTTATCTTTGTTTCCTGTTTTTTTCTCGCGATGTTTTTTTCTGTTTTCTTCTAACTCTGTATTTTGCGAGCATGTGAAAAGTCTTGTGATTTCGACATGTGGTTTATTAATGAAAAAAATAATAAAAATAAGGATCTTTATTAATATTTAGTCTATTCGAAACAATAATTTATCATAAATTTGACTACAATTTTTCAGTTGACTTATACGACAGAATCTAAAAGCGGAAATCCGTCGCATCAGGTCTGTTTAATAAGGATAGTATGATAACGACGGTACTGTTTTATTGAATAAAATGACGAAGAGGTCTCAGGGATTGAGATTGAGATTGAACTTAACCTATATTTGAGTACACTATGACTTCGAATTAACAACTTATTTCTCTATATCACATACAGAAATACGAGTGTAGTAATTACTAAGCTATTCAATTGAAGATTGTTGACATTTCACTATGGAATAGCGCAATATTTTTTCTGCAATGTAGGATATTAATAAAGATCTAATGTAACCATCTTTAGGGGTTGGTAAGTTCGTGTCAAACAGAAGATAATGATTACCGAATGACGAGAACTTCTTTTGAAACGTAACGAGTAGCTATAAGCGTGACTAGGGATATATAATCCTGTAAATGCTACACTCTTTTTCTCAATTCATGCAATTCTTTTCAGTCATTGTAAAATGAAATTATACTTAAATATAACATAAGCTTTCATTTGAAACATGAAGAAGACAGTTGATAATAGGAATGATTAAGTTTCCATTATCAAATCTGTAAAATGAATATGCGACTATTAAAGATCAAAATATTATCCATAGAAAAGTAGGATGATTTTTTAGAAAAACTGTAATATATGATAAGAAAGAATATTCATCCGCTAATGATCAATCATCATTTGAAGTTTAACATAATGTTTTAAAATCAAAATTGAAGAATTAAATTTTCTGGAGCGCAAAAATTATGACAACAAAAAATTGACTTATTCTTTGTAGAAACTCCATGTAATGAATATGGCATATTCGAAACTGAATTTTTTATAATTATAAAGATTAATTTTCTCATTCAAAACATTTATTTCATGAAACAAATCCGTTGTATTTGTTTCGTAATTTATTTACGCTATTATCTAATTATTTAATGAAAAAATAGATTTTGATTTTTCTTTAAAACACGAACTCATTATGATATATATGATACATAAAAATAATGCAATTTATTGGTTTGTCAAATTTAGATAAACTGATCTACTGTTCAACCTGGGAATAATTAATCAAATTAATAATCATAAGAGAATATCATTATGCAGATTATAGAGGAAAAAACTTAAAAGAGTCTGAGATTTGATTAGATGATCATGTCTAGGCATTTTGATTAAAATCTAATAAACTGATTAATATGATTGCTATTCAGTTTTTTTTACCATTGTTTAACTCATAATAACAATGGCTAAAAATATTTTTTTTTCGTTTTCAGCATGATCAAAATATCTTACGAGGTACTTGTCATTGCTTTCCGAATGTAATTCAACGAACTGGCTCTATATCAGACGGTAAGCGTTTTTTAAGCTGGAACGGGTAATAATCAAATAAATCGTATGAGAATTTATTTGACTTTTGATTTTTCAATTAGATGTGAGCTTAAAAGATATCATTGGTTTTATTTTCGTTCGATCAATAATTATAATCATTGTTAAAACGATATAACTCTACTATCTATGTTACATTTAACGAGATGAAACCGTTTTTAAAATCGTGATTTTAATCGTATGTCATGCATTATTTCATCAATTATTATTCTACTAGTTGCATTAACTGTTAATAACGAGTTTTGTTGACTCTTTTAGTTTTTTAGTTTTGATTATCCGAAATAATAAACAAAATAATTTCAACATGTAGCTTCATGGACAGAGAACATGAATAATTAAAAAGAATTTTTTATTATGTCAAATAATGACGTTTCAAGAAAGATCTTTTGTAGGTTTTCATCAAAATTTTGCAAGAAATTATTACTTGAAAAATCAAGATTCTTTGAGATGATTTTTCTCTACTCGACTGGCAATGTTCTTCATGTGAGCTTATCTGATCGTGTCTATCTTGTAAAACCGATTGTGATGTTTTTGCAAAAACTTTTCTTCATGCGAATCCACACAAGACATCGAATAGTAGAGCAATATCCATGAAAAAATGAACAAAAGAAAACAATGGCTTCGGTGCCTCTGGTAAATATAGTTTGATGAAGAGAACTGATTGAAAAATTGATAGTATTTCACATGGTTTCACAATGTTTACTCTATCTGATAAGTTGGTTTTTGACAGAGAGTTTTTGAATGAATGGAGCTATAATGGTTCCTTGCTTTCGAAAAAGCCAAACTACTGAGAAATTTGAACAGGAGCTTGATAGGTACTTTCAACGAAAGAAACTTCTATTAGTTAGTAAAAGTTTTTTGCTCCATACGTCTTTGCTATGATTCTTAAGTAAATAACTCAGAAACACTACCGTGCTGATTTTGTTTTTGTTTTTATTTCTTCGTTATGTTTTTAGACCATCTATTCGGTTTATATCAATGATATATCTATATAGTTGATAGGCTTAGTCAATGAAACAAGACTGGATGAAAATATTTGTATAGAAGAACTTTACGTACATTGATCCTTAATTTATGAAAGAGAAATCGTTGCAATTATTACGTGTGATGATGATCGTCAATAATATTTTGGTCAATTTGTCATTTATATTCTGTGAAAATACACTGTTTATATTTTAGTTGAACGTAAGAAAGTGTGCATCTCAGGATAACGGCATTCGCAAAATATTTTCTTAAACAAACATAACATATTGATCATACATGAACAATTGTTTTCGTTGAAAACTTATTTTTTAGAGTATTTAATAACCGAGAAAACAATCGTAAATCACAATCAATAATTCATCTAATTAGTAAAATATTTTTATCTAAATTTTCAATCATCGAAATCATTCGCTACATTGCCAAAATGTTACGATAAAAACAACGGAGATTTCAAGCAACTAAAAGTTTTTAACTACATTGTTATTGGTGTTTATGAATCGTCGATGTTTTTTTGAACAACAAAATTTGTAAGAATATTTTTGTAATTCAATGACCAGTCTCATTCACAAGATGTTGGAAATGAAATAAATCTGTAGATTCAAAACGACCATTCAACTGAAAGATGGAATTTTATAAAATTTTCAGTCTTCTTTCCATTGAAATGATAACAGTCTTGTTTCTTTCGATGTAAAGTTGCATGGTTTTAACCTGATTAGAAGAAATCGAAAGCTATAAACATTCAAATGCTGTTCCTTATTTTTTGATTGTCGATATAACCATCAGAATTATGAGATACAGTAAATGAGTCACCATGTTAAATTATGCGTAAGGCTGAATTTGAACAAAATTTGGCCATAATCTGATTGATATCACTCGTTTTTTTTGTTCCCTGCATTTTGTTTGGATTCATGTTTGTTTATCTTATCATCTTTTATTATCACGATTAACTATTTTCGACCATGCAACCGATATCAACACAATTTTGTGAATTCAAGTCTTTATTGTATGAATTTTTTTCTGTATGTGTCGTTTCTTTAATTTTATTCGTTATTCTTGTAGAGAATCAAAAAATATAAAGGATTGAAATAGATTTTTATAAGTTAGTGTGTAGGAATAAATATCATAACTCTGAAAAATAAGTAGCCTTAATGGATGAAGTTTTACCTGCAGGCCAGACAGGAGCTTGATCTCTATTTTTAATTTGAGCCATAGATCAGACCGGGGAAAAATGACCTGTTAATAGCTTTGATTTGTTGCTGATTAACTTTTAAAATAGCTGTTTTCATCTCGAATCAGTTTCCATGAGTAGAATAGTTAAGTTGTGCCAATTTTCATATACCTAGATCTTTTGAAAACGGTTTGTTGCTATCTTCTACTAATCATTTTCTTGAAACTCCGCTGTGACAATTATAAAATCATGGTTTGATGAAATACGATGCAGTTCTTTATCGAATGATTTTATAGTAAGTAGATTGAAGTACAAAGACGCGAACATTCACCTGACTGCCTGAGCCAACGAAAAGCAATCGATCTATTTATGTAAGTGTCAAATGTTTTCGCGAACTGTTTTTAGTATCGTAAAATCTGTCCTATGTCTTATTTCAGCATCAACATACGAAGTATAATCATTTTTCTTTAAAAAGCTGTAATCATGTTCAACTGTCTACAGATTATTTTTTGTATTCAATTGAAATATAGGAGACTATTTCACAATGTGAGCAGGCTATTGAATCAAAATATTCTTGTTTGAATTAATCGTTAGGTAGAATGTATGAGGAAATTATAAGATAGCAAAAATATTCGCGAATATAGTTGAAACTTGCATGCATTGATTGATTTATTTCTTTTTGATGACTGAGATAATAATTTGAATGTTTGCGCCATGCTTTTCTTTTCTGACTTAAATCTATCATGAAGCCATCCAATAATACATTGCATCCAATTTCCATATTAATTTACAAAGTACGCTGAAGAAATTGAAAACTAGAAGATATTTATAACTAAGTTTACAAAGACTTGGTCATAGAGTAATCGTCACAAACTTCAACATTCTACTCATGGAGACTACTTCGACATGAAAGCATAATTTTTTCTAAGAATCTCTTAGCTAAACAAAACACACTTGCCATGTTCATATGGAAGTAATAAATAAATAAATAAATAAAAACTACGCTTGACTGTTCACTATTTTCAATTTTTTCAAAGTCAGCTTAAAAGCGTCACATTCCGTATCGAAAGACACGTGAGTACTTTACATTCCACGAGCTGGAAGATTTTCAATTTTCGATGTTGTTCTGTTGTTTTTAAGTGAAAAACAAAACTAATATAAATAAAGAGTTAATTTATTGTACTTTTTGTTCGTTTTTTTATTAAGTTTTGAAATTATTTTAATAGCATCTACACACATGTTCAAATAAATATTTCATAATTGTTCATTCATAATAAATCCCTCGAAATTTTGATACATTTCATAATTGAGGTTTTTTTCAAAAGCATGCTTCGTACTTTTATGTTTAATGTACTTTTCAATAATTAGAGGAATTTTATCGTTGTGAAAAAGAAAAATCAATTGGTTAGAAATTTTTTCACTAATCAAACATAATATATTCCAAGTTGAATTAAAGTTTGTTTGATCATCTTCTGTATTATTTTGAACAATTTTATGAAAATCATTTTTTATTTCATCGTTGATTCGTTTGGCTTTATTTGAAATTCTTTCACGACATTGTGCATCATCACAAATCAATTGTTTAACACATAAATGATCAGTTTGCTGATCAACCGTTGTAGAAGTCTCCGGTGTTAAAGACATCACAGGTTTAAAGAAAGTACAAATAACAAGAATAACGAAAAACAAGCAAAAAGGAGGAATGAAGCGCAAGTATTTCTCAGATGATTGCTTTACATGTATTTTTACATTAAAAATAAATAATTAACAAATCTAAGTTCAAAGGCTTCATTTTTCATGCGCTCGTTGTTTTATATTTCAACAGTGGGAGAAGAAAAATACGTATTCATCCGTCTCTGCTTTATATAAAATCAAAAAAAAAATCGAAAAAAACAAAAACGAAGCTAAAAAAGTAGTCACACACACGTCCGGCAACCTATTGACAATAGCTAGACAGCATTTGTAATCTGGAAGAGAAAAAAGAGAGTCGAAGATGATTGAAGATATAATGGTGAGTTTGACAAGATTTATATTTCTTAATCCTTTTCTTAATATGAATTGAAAGGAAAACGATGGGCGGAATCAAGTGTATAAAGACACACCACCATTAGGACTTCCGCAAATGGGACCGCCCACATCTTTGCGAACATCGGTATCGCCTCGTTTTGATAATCTTATGGATCGATCGAATTCCATACCTTGGGCACCAACACCTTTGAATGCAAATTCACGCGGTCAAATGATGTCTGATCGAACATTAGTAAGTCCTTCATTTGTAAAGTCATCCACTACATGGCAAAACAACAATGCTTGGCAAAATAAAAGTCTTAATAATTCATACTCAAAACCAGTGGATTCAACGTTAACGAATAGTAATTCGTCCAATGCACGAATGATATCCAGGTTTGAAAAAGAAAAACTACTAAAAACTACTAAAAAACACACTATCTACTTTTAGCTCGGATGAAACATGTAATTGCATGTCTACTAAAATTTCGCCGCGGTGTAAACTCGGGATACTCGGTTTTGTTATTGGACTTTTAGGTGTTAGCATACCATTGGCTGTAGTGTTGGTTTTGTGGCTCAGAAAATAATGATGTCCGATGCAGTCTATACGACTTTAACTTCATCCTTCTTTTCTTAATATGAGCGTGCGTTTGTGTGTGTTTATACTATGGTCATCAACTTGAGGGCGTGCAAACCGCGTCTTACGACAAAAAAAAAATATTATGTATAATACAATTTCTATGTTGAACAATGAACTATAACTGTAAGAGCACACAAAAGAAAGAAATTTCAAGGAGTGACAAAGTTAAAGCTGATACTAATTTCGAAATTGAAGCATCATATGTATTGTAAACTTGTATAATACGAGTGGGACGGATGAATAATTGCTATCGGCGTAAATAAGAAAATCCTTATATCAACGAATTGAGAATTCTCTTTTTTTATCCGTCGAATTTGCTAATCTGTTGACAATTTTCAATTATGGATGTGAACAAATTTCTCGTATCTATCTTTTGATTAGTTTTTATAGGTCGGTATGTCCAGTTATAATGTTCCATGTTTGAGCAAAGATGAACAGAAGATTTGTAGAACATGAGGCGACGGAAAACTACTTCATCCTTTAAAAAGATGGAAGTGACCAAAAGTTGAACTACAATTTAACATCAGTAGATCTCCTACTATTGTAATATTAGCTGTAGAAGACACACTTGGCAAGGAAGCGTCAAAAATTGATTATTGCGTAGTTTTGATGGTAACTCTTTGTAGAAACAAACGTGAAAAAAAACAAGAATCGTACCGCAGTAAAGTATGCTGTCTTAGTCATAAACACAATTGAACATATTTTTTCCCCGAATGGGAAACTTTTTTCAAAAGAGTTTAGCTAGAATTTTATATATTTTATTACAGCAGAAATTTCAGTCTATTTCGACGTCAAATTAATTAGTTCTAACACGTCGAAGGCCAAAAATAGGTGAGTGCATTACCTGTGAACAAGTCAAGATTATTTTTGTCAGCAACGAGAAAGCGAATTCGCTTTTACTAGAGTTCAGAATTCCCCTAGGCTACATATTGTGCATCAAATAAATACTAGTAGACAGTCATTTATGACGAGTGTATTGATTTGAAATTAATACACACCAAAAGAAAATACTGCAAAATGTTTGCTTGATGTAATTAATTTATATAATTCATAGAATAAAAATAAAATTGAATAAACATTCAATTTTAGCTCGAAAATTAGAAATCCAACAAAATATTATAATAATGTTTAGTCATGTTCATCCAATTTAAATAACTATAATAAAATTATTCTGTTACTTACTGTTAACAAGTCTACTACTTAATAAAAGCTAATGGATAGTTATTTATCATTTGTCTCGAGTCAGAGTACAAGCGTAAGAATTTCTCTTAAAGCTTCGCATAATATTTGGATGAAAAGTATTTCCATGCAAAAATTAGACTTTCTTTTGAAATTTTATTACAACAGGTATAACTATTAGCATAATATAAAAATTCTGAATTTCAAAAACATAAAAGACATTTGCAGCAGTAGTTTTTCGTAACAAACTCGCCTAAAAGTGCAAACCATCTTGGCATAAATGATGCTTCCAAATTCAACGAACTGAGACAAAGGTTAACAAAAACATTGCCGTTTCAGAAATACGTTAACGATCGAATACAACAGGACAATTTTTATCAACAAAAGATACAAACTATTTATTTGCTCAATCTGATAATATATATCTTGTGTAAGCTTTAATTCGATATTATTATAATAGAATGTGTCAGATAAGTATTTGCATTGTAATATAAATTCGACAAATATTTTGATATGCACATTTGAATATTTTTCAGCCGCTTACACTAATGCCTTTTGAATTTCCTTTGATCGTAGGCGGGTGGTAGCCAAAACAATCGCACTCAATGCTGATTATTACAGTATCCAGGAAGGTTAAAAAACAAACTTCATGTTCTTCATTCAGAATCATTTAGTAAAATGAATTCATCGTTAAATATTATATAATAGTTGTTTATTTGTACATCTAAATAGTATTTTTTGCACTTTCATAATTAACAAGTTTTTAATCGAAAATCTTTGTCTGTAAGTGACAAATTCAATAATCAAACACGATAATTTCTATGAAATCATACTTTGATAGGAAAAATATTACAGAACTCGAATTATTCACGAGACGTTTTCTTAAGATTTTTCAAAACAACTCTGGCATCAAAACTTTATATTTATTTATCATTAGGTTTTATTGTTACTTCATTGTATTAAAAATGTTTTTTCAGATAGCATATGTTGTTCAATAATCATGATAGATTTCGTTGATCATTTTTTTATTTATTGATATAAAAATAAAGCTATCACTTAATTATTGTCGGGCAGTGCTACGACAAGAACCCCAATATATTGTTGACATTAAAAATCTATTTCGTTTTATATCAAACGTTTAAGTTACTTTAATTATATTTACCTCTAACTTTTTAAAGAAAGAATATAAAAAAGCTGTTAGCGCAATCCCTGCGGGATTAAAATGTGAAACACGGCAAAGCTCGTTTTCTGGAATCCATCTGCCACGGTCTGTGGAGCTTCTCTGTCACGGTCTGTATTTGTATTATGGTTTATGAAGTCTCTAGAGACAATCGCAGATCGTTGCACAGACTTCAGAAGCCATCACAGATCGTGACAGAGAATTCAGAGACCATCAAAGACCGTGACAGAGAGACTTCAGAAACCATCACAGACCGGGGCAGAGAAATTAGTTAGTTAATTAGTTAATTAGCTAACTAATTAATTAATATCTCTGCCTCTGTGTGTGGGGGGACTGGGGGTTGGGTCCAAATTTCTACCCTATATACTTCAACACTCCTTTCAGATCGTGTTTCACAAAAAAGAACTAGACACGCAAGCGGAATGAGTGTCGAAACCTTACCATAATGTAGTAATGTATGTACACGAAATAGATTTTTTGCACACTATAAACCAAAATTGATAGAAAATTTTCAATATTTACTCTACAATATACTGTAGACAAAAATAAAAGAAATTAAGCCTGCAGATATCCAGCCTAATATATCCTGTTTCTTTGGACTACAATTATTTAGTAGGCAACTATGAACAAAAATGTGATCATTGAGTGTAAATCCATCGACTCAACTTATACTTTCCACGAAATTCGTTTTTTTTGTGAATATAATTTCCATAGTTTTTTCGAAGATCTTCATAAATTCGTCTGAATTTTCGAACATTTCATAGTTCTATTGAATAATGAAGACATGTTTAGCTAACAATTTTATTTTTATTAGCTCTATAATAGCTTTGAGAGTAATTAGAGCAAAGTAAACTTCTATAAAATTATTTAGATTTGCCAGTATAATAAGTCTGTGAATTGCTCTTTAATGTAGCTATTTTAATACTGCGAATTTATTAGAACATGATTCAACTATTACTAAATGTATTTTTCCGCGTGTGTGATCAATATTAGTCGTACTTCAATTTTGGTTTTCGATACCACTTTAACACAAAATATAAATAATAACTTGCTAAACTTGAATATCTTCGCAAAATAAAAATCTTAGAAAAAAAGCAATGAAATATAATAACTAATGATATTTTTAATACTTAAGCTTATTTTTTGTAAAGGATACATGCACTGAATATAGAAAGGAAAATAATAATAGGACGCCTTCGAAGCAAACAAAATCTGCAATAAGCAAATATGCTTTTTTCCTTATAGAAATAGATACTTCGTAGATTTCTTTTCTATTATATCTTTCAATCGCTATTTACTTAATATTCAAAAATCCTACTTCATCATTGATACACAATCTTGAAAGAGAAAACACAAAGTATTCGATCTAGTTGATACGATTATTGTGCAATAGATGGGCTTTTTCGATTTACACGAACCTGAAGATGGACAAGATCGATTCTTTTTATATGCGATGATTGTTCTTCCATTTTTTGCTACAGGTTCTTATTTATTTGATGCATTGTATCATTATGAATATGATTCCAAAGATCGTACTTATGAAGGTCTACTATCAACAATAGTGATTGTTTTTGCTTATCTACAATATTGTGCACCGATACGTTCACGAAAAGCTTTAACTCTTTATTACGTACTGTTGTGTATGGTGAAAGAAGCAGCATCAATTGTTTATTTACTTAGCTATATCAGAGCACATGATGTATTCAAAATAGTATGCTATATTTGTTTCTTGATTATCGATTTATTCTTTACAGCTGCTTTAATTCATTGTCGCGTTATAAATAATTATGAATCTCATATAGTTGTTGAAAATAAACATTTATTTCATTTCATATCACGTTTGGAAGTTATATTGACGATATTCATACCTGTTTATATGAATGTTAAATTTTCATCATTAACACGTTACACAATAGCACATTTTCTGTTATTTGATTTTTTTTCTGATTCATATGCAAGATTTCAAGGTATATGGATTAAATCGGCAATATATCTATTTGTAATAATAACAACAGTATCTGTGGCAACTGAGTGGCTTTATTTTAATGATCAAACAATAATATACGAAGAAATTTCATACGTAGCGGAAGTTATTGCAAATGCATTATGTGATTCAATTATTATTTTACAATTTTTTCCATTTCATTTCAAAACTCAATTTGTACAAAATATATTTCGAAACGCTCTCCTTTTTAAGAAACAATTAAATGAAGTCAATCTTTCCACCAGCATCGGAGAAAGCACAAAAATCGATATCGCACAAAATATCGACACTAAAATCGATGAACGAACTCATACAAAAATCTGTGAAGTCTTTTGATGTTACAATGTGGCTTTTCGATTGAATATTTCTCTATGATTTTTTATGAGAAATTGAACGTTTACCTTATAATTTACCGTGTAAATTGAATTGCATCATGAATTATAATAAAGAAGCGACATCTATTAAGAATTGTCTATTATTTTGTATAAAACTTTATTTTAAAGTTCCTTTTATTAAATTATTATAAAGAAAATTGAGAGTTTCTCTAAAATTGTGATATTTTTCATTGAGGCTTATAATGATGATGGTATCGGTCAATCTTTAAACCAATTGATTATACCTAATGATTTCTAATATAATATAATAATTATTTATTATTAGACTTATTATCGTTACTGTTCGTTTTGTATCCAAATTGATGGCTCCACCGATCACTCAACCGGCAACAACAAACTCAAATTTAACGACAACCGGTAGCTCAATACCAACAAATCGTCTTGAACGGGATTCAAAAAAACACGATCGACGGTAAAAACAAACAAAGAATTATTTTCTCTCTATTTCTTTCATTCATCTATTTTTACAGATCGGATCTTGTCTGTCGTGTTCGTTACACAAATGTATTACCTGATCTTCCATTTGATCCAAAATTTCTACGATATCCTTTTAGTCAAGACAGGTTTGATTTTTTTCTTTAACTTTAAAATATTATTAAATATTTTTCTTTCTATTAGATTTGTTCGTTATAAACCAACATCTTTAGAAAAAAATTATCGTTGGGATTTACTTACAGAACATGATGTTGGTGTTGAAATTGATCTCATTAACCCAGATGCATATGCTACAAATAGTATAATTTTGTTTATTTCTCAAGTTACAAACAATGAACGTATTTATTTTTCTCTAATTATTTAGGAAAACTAACAGAAGAAGATGAAAAATTATTAGAAGAGGAAACAGCTAGTCCAGCCAATCTTAAACGGTATCAAACAAACAAACAATTTTTTTCTTCACATATTTTAAATTTTGAATATATTTAGATCATTACTCAATCAACGAAGTGTACCATGGCTTCGTAAAACAGAATATATTTCAACAGAGCAAAGTTCAATTAAATCATCATTGAAATTGGGCGAAGTCAGGTATAAAATCTATCGAATGAGAAATAGTTCTAATTGAACAAACTAAGACAATTTGTTTTCTCTTACACCCCTAAAGAAAAATGACGACTCTATATAAGTTGTTATAAGACTTCGAGAGACTTGAATATATATTTTACTCATATACAATAACTCTAGTACACTTTGGAAAAATATTTTAAAGTTAGCATTATGGAAAGACTCTATTCTTAGTCTCCTTTTCATGATGAATGAAAATGTACATCAGTAAATCAAAATATGTCGATGAATTTGAAATTATTTTGACGTGAACCCGTGTTAAAATGAAATTTTGAGATTACTTCTATTGTCATCAGTTTCTCCTCTGAATCTTCGAGATCTGTAATATTTTGTCAAAAGAAATATCTTCTCTATTTGTTCAATAGTTGTCTGTATTGGAATTTCATTGATTAGTATTTAGATAGATGTAAGCTAAGTTCCATAATCTTTATTCTATAAAAAATATTTTCATCATGAACTGTAAATTTTTGTTCGTATGATATTAACTTCTCCGGTGAAAAACAATTGACTATTGGTGTATTGTTTGCATGACGCTTCTGTTGATTTCTATTAAAGCCACAAAACGTACATGTACACTGTTGATTCCTTTTTTTTTGTAAACTTCTTTGACAATATCCATTGCAATTAGAAATAGGCATTATTTGCAGAGAGAAAATATCCATCAGAAATGTAGAGTAATGCAATCAAAATTAATATTTTCACTATCATTCTATATATTTTAATCAAATTTGTTTACTTTAGATCCAGTTCTGTTAAAGAGAAACTTCGTGAAGATTCTCTTAAATATTTAACAAAAGATCGTCTATTACAAATAGTTGAAGAAGGTTTCGAAACTGCCAAAGCTCCTGTAAATATAAATAAATATATATATATATATATATACATACATATTTCAAAATCATTCATCTACACATATTTATTTTATTTTTAGCTTGACAAACATTACAGCAAGCCATCCGTAGTGAAACTAGAAGAATGGCCATTGTTTCCTGATTTCGACGTAAGATTTATATTTTGTAAACGAATGAAATCAGATTTTATTTATTGATTTGCAGAATTGGAAATATCCATTTGCTCAAGTTATATTTGATGATGACCCGTCCCGTAAAGATGCTACAGTAACAGGTCAAGAACAAATGGAAGAAATGTCCCAAGCAGTTATCAAGTAAAAATTATTTTATTTTTATTTTTCTGAAAAATAATCTAAGAAATTTGAGAATTTAACCGATCCTACTAGACTTTTAAGTCAATTTCAACAAATATTTACTATTGAGAATAGGCATACCACGAAATTTCACCACTGATACAAACGGATGATAGAATATTTTCAATCTCAGCTTTCTTTTTTGACGCTGAGCTTTGGAATTTACCCAAAGATCGTATATCAAAAATAACTTATTCTAATATTTGAACTATTTATTTCGTATATTTCTGGAAGATTGAATGAAAAAAAAGATCCTTGTACTTAACAAGAACAGACACTGCCTTTTTGATATTTTAATACCACAGTCATTGTGCAAGCAATTTTTTTTTCTTGATCTTTACCACGATGAATTTTCTTTTAGAGCACTAATTGATGGCGACAATAAAGAATATATTGGTTATTTTCTACCTACTGCTGAAACACGAGCAAAACGCGCACGAGAAGAACAAGAAGAAGTTGAAGATCCTGATGAGTCGTATGATTTTAAATTAATACGTGAATATAATTGGAATCGAAAAGATAAAACGATGAGTGGCTTTGAAGAAAATTACTTTTTAAGTGTAAAAGATGATTCAATTGTTTATAATGAACTTGAGACAAGGTAAAAAAAAGCTTTCCAAATGAAGAAAATATTTTATTTTTCATTTAAGAGTACGACTAAGTAAACGACGAGCTGCAGGTGGTGGCTCGAAGCCAGCTAATCTTCGACTTATTCAACATTATCGACAATTTCTTGAATTGGAAGAAAAAACTCAGGTTAAATTAAATTAAAAATTACTAACAAGATTATTTTAACCTTTTTATATTTTTTTTTCTTCTAGAGAAAACGTTTGAAAGCCTTCGAGAATGAGGATGAATTAGATGCTGTTCTTGGTAAATGATACGTTTTTTTCCTCATTCTGATTGAATCAAATGTTTCATTTGATTTTGTTTAGAAGAAGAACATGGAGGTGAAACACCTGAAAATGACGAAGAAGAGGAAAACGATGACGAACAGCACCAAGAAGAAGAAAGAGATGACGAACATGCAGATGCACAAGAAGACGACGAAGAAGAAGAGCAATCTAATGATTAATATGAATAGAATAAAACTTTATTAATTTCTTTTTCATGTATATAGCGTATCCTTGATTAAATGACGATAAAGTTACTTTTTCCTATCATTTAAAAGGAAAGACTTCTAGCAAAATTGCATTTCCAGAAAAAGTTTTCATCGTCATTGATATTAAAAGACTTTTAAGCAAGTTTTACGATCCTATAGTTTTATACTCGTAAAGTTATACAACAAAAATGATTGATTTCGCAGAAGTTTCCCATGGTGTAAATAACTTTGCAATTAAATACATCTCATGAAACAAAAACAATAAATAAACGACAATTCCAACTACCACATTTCAAGAGATATATTGTCAAGAGGGAAACGGCATACTCCGAGGACTTCATGTACTCCATGGACTGTGTGAACTCTCGGAGTACAATGAGAGTACAACACATTGAACGATAAGCATAGACTAACAATGTATTGAGGGTTGCTACGAATCATCCCTATATTCTTTGCGTTATTTGTTTTTGCAGTAACCGAGATATATTTACTTTCTAAAATCATATTTACTTCATTGTTATTTCAAACTATTCTAATTTGAACACGAGTAGAATATAAAATATACTATAGAATTGAATTTGTGATGCGAAAATAATTTTCTTTTTTCAAATGTACCAACACGGTATGAATCGATTTGACAGAAAATCGTAACCCACTAGTCGAGTCTGGCTATGGTAAAAATATATAAACAACTACTAACTCAATCATTGATTGAATTTATCGTAGGTTTCAATAGTTTTTCTCTCGTATTGTATTCTTTTTAACTATAATCAGGTCAACCAACATGATGCCCTTTTTTAAACATAACACAATGGTATCTTCCTATACTTCATGTATCTTTAAATCTGTCAATACGAAAAAAACCAACGCATTAACTTCTAACTAAACTAAAACAAAAGATCCTAGTAATTCTTTTCTTCATTATATCCGATTTTTGAATTACACGATCCAGACGATCGTTCGACAAGACCGATTTATTTTCCGTTAAAATCCAACGAGCAGTTTGTTTGTGTAGACATTTTTTTGTTATGACTGATTTCCAATTCAAAATAAGGCTTTTCTAATTCGGGACGAACTTTATCGAATACTCGCATATCAGAAAATTTGATTCCATCTAAATCATCGCATATTCCATCCGAAAAGATGTTTGATGCTTCATATTGTTGATCTTCACTGTCAACATCATTTTTGTGAACCTAACATTTTATCGAATTTATTCTTGGAATCTGATGATTCGTCCTCTTCGTTTAAGTCAAAATAATCTCAAATACTTATTCTTTTTATTAATCAACTTTTCATGCAACTGTTGACTGCTCTGAGATTTGTTATTTATTTTGTATCAAGACAATTTTTTATTTTGTAACGAGAAAGTAGATCAGCAGCGTCATTATATGCTTGAAAAATTACTTTTGTTATTGTTTCCACATTCAGTATATAATTTCCTGGAATTACCTATTGTGAGTGTCTTAACTGTTTTCTCTGTTTATAATGAGTAATTTTTAATAAGTATCAGTAGTGTTCAGACTGAAAACATAAGAGATTGCATAAAATTTCAAGTATTTATGTTCCAAACTGTTCACAATTTATCAATATTATGTAATTTCTAAAATGGATGAAATTACCAAACTTACAAATATTTCTAAACATGTCTAGAATTCAAAATGCTTCTACAAACTTTTGACTTATACTTCAATATAGTTAGCGGGCTCATACAACATTTGATAATTTACTTTTTCAGAAATACGATAGTACTTTAAAGAATTAGATAGTATCATAATATTATAAAAAGAAAACATCGATATTCATTCAAGTTCTAATAAAGATGGTGTGCACTATAGCAATGATGTCACTCCTAGCATGTTCTATTTTTTATTCATTCTTCTATTGTTTCCTATCCGATGCTCTTAGAAGGACTTCTTATCTTTATTGTGGTAATCTCAAGAATGGGAAGCCAGAAAATAGTCATTCAAATTCGACAATAAAGCTTCATCGACAGAAAAATATCTTTCATTCTTGAATTGTCAATGACGCATTCTATTTTTCCCCTGGAGAAGCCAATGATGAAAGCAACTTGTTGTTGACTTAGGTTTTTTTCGAACTACGAGATAATTAATATGATGACAACAATAAAAACGATCTGACTATGCATTTGCTAGTGTTATGTCAGGAGATATCTGTTCTGCCATAATTATGTTCTCTCTTCTACTCTCGGTGTCATTCTATCACGTTTACAATCATTCTATTCTTCTTCTCATATCTATTCTATTCAAGTGAATGTTAACGTTTAAAGTAAGGGGAATTACTTCTTGTGAGAATGTAATCATAATAAGCAGGCGAAATAAAGAAGAAGATTGCAACAGCTCGTATTTAAGAAAGTTTTCAATGCAACTGATAATAGATGACGAATCAGTGCAAGAATCCAGCGAATAACCAAAAATTGTCATTCCAAGCATGTTTATACAAGTTAATCGAATTCCCATGACAATCATTTTACAAATAAGTGCTTTTCATAGTGTTGTCAGATGTCAAAGTCAAAAATCCGAAAATGTTTTAGATCTTTTAAAGTGTTTTACTCGAAATGATTATGAATGGCGATATTCTTTATATTCACATTTTAGTACAGCATTTTTCGTTTCAATGAATAAGTTTCAAGAATTTTTTTTTTTTTATAAGAGAAAAACATGAACTTCTGTAAATGATAATGACGAATTTAAGCGATTTGTTAATGCAGTCGCAATAGCTTCTGTTGAAATACGGTTTCATTTTTCGTAATATAAATGTTTCATTGTTGAAATAACATTTTCGACATACATGTGTATTACTGCGGTTATTGAGAATAAAAAATACGTAAATTTGAGCAGATTATGAGAAGGCATAGGCTTAGCAGATAAGAGTATTTTCCAAAGATGATCAGGTTCTATTTCTTGTTTCATTTTTTTGTTCTTTTGAATCATCATTATGATTATCTTGTTGTTGTTTCTGTTTTTGAACTTCTTTGCTCGATTAGATTTTTCGAGCAGAAGCTACCGATATGTTTGAATCGCTTTTTCTTTATTAATACTAATCAAAAGTAAAATATAATTGAGGTAGGCTATTTCCAAAATCCGAAAGATCTGGCAACTCTGATTTGTGAAGTACCACGATTTATTATCAATTATGAAAGCATGGTTTTGTCCTCTATGAGACACCTTTCTATTTTCTAAGAACAATGTTCGAAGCTTTGTATCACATCTTAAAGTCAAATGAAATTCGAATTTCATCGTTTGTTTTTAAACATTTTATTATTCAATTAATAAATCAAGTAAAAAAAAACATCATTTGTTACATTTTTAATCTAAAACCCAAACAAGCAAAAGAGACAAAATATAAAAATAGAATTAATCCGAAACTTACATAGTTCACATATAAATGGTGCGACATTTTCACATGTTGAATCATTTAAACATGATGACGTGTTTGACTGAATATACAAACCAATACATTGATCGTATTCTTGAAAGTAATAGTTATATTTATGTGCTGGTTGGCCCGAACAAAAATCGTTTGTATTAGAAAAGATTGTTTTCGATGTACTCCAACGATAAATATCTAAGCAAGAAACATCACGAACGAAAAATTTGGTTTGATATGGAGAAAACCAAAGCAACAAGAACAAACTTGTATTCGGAGCGGTTTCACGTAAACCAATTCAATAAAGATTCGTTAAAATGAAACTAAAATATTGTATGGATTGTAATGTAAGAAATAATTTTTCATTTAAAATTTCGATAAGACAACTTTGACTGTCAATACACAGCTATGGAGCATCAGAATAAGTTAAACTTGTATATGATACAAAATAGCAACCAATATAGCTTTGATCAAGAATCCAATTACAAGGACATTCACCTTTTTTATTGAAAAATTTCAAAAAGATGGTGAAATTTTTTCACAGCTAACTTACGACATATCGTATTATTGTAATTACCAAAACCAATTGCCTGATGGGCATAAGCATGTTTTAGTTCGATTTCCGTCTCTGCATAGTAATCCTTTGGATGAATCGCGTATAGCGCTGGCACATTGCTAACCATAAGTTTCATACGGAGCTAGAATTAAACCATTATAATAAATAAAAAAATAAAAAAACTTATTATTTATTTTAATAGTACCAGTTATTTAGGACTAAATATCTTTACATTCGAATAATTTTCTATTCCAACGGTATAGTATTTTTGTAAAAAAAATTGAGAGGATTTAAGCTCTTGTAAAAACCTAGTGAAAGTATTGAATATTAAATGCGTGAATTCGTCAAATATTATGGAGGATTCGGTACTTTAAGAAAACTTAGGTAGTTCGTAAGAATTCGTATCTTTCAGCTAGGAATTTTTCATAAAATATATGTTTGTCAACACGTCAAGAATCATCTACGTATATCGAGAACAGAACATACACCAACTATAAAACTTTTTTCTATAAAACTACTGTAAAAGAGACCTGTAGATAATGTCGAAACAATATTAAAATCAAACTTTGTTTGTGGGAAAACTAGTAAATCTACACGAGTCTCTGTAACGAGACAAAACACGAACTATTTAGCTATATAAAAGTCTAATTCATTGAAAGTTCTAATTATAATAATGAATAATACACACAAGTACAGAGAATCATCGACATATAGAACGATGACATCGAGTGAAGTTTCTATAATAATACTTTTAATTAAATAGGAAACATTCATTATATGAGGAGTACATGTCAAAGTTGTGCTACACAATACACTTACGCACAGGTCCAACTTCAATTAAGAGCAAAAAGATTAAAAGCATTACGACGGCTATTATAGCAATATTGGCTACGAACACACTCTAACAAAATCAAGACGTATACGGTGTACATGCAAGACGTTCCATCCGCTAAAACAAGACGTTTCGTCTTTTTCTAATTGGTTCATATCTAATTCGATAAGACGCTTCAAGCGTCAACGGATGATCGATTGTAGACACCAGAGGTGTCCACAGGACAGGGCAGGGCTATACCTTCACGCCCTGCAAATTTTGCATATACTTACTTTAGTTCGAAAATAACAGCAATTTTATTCTTCTCGGGAGCATGAAAGAAACTAAAACTATCCAGACATCGCTATAGAATGGTAAATAGATTGTTATATTTGTGTTTGTATGATGACCGTATAAGGTCCAATCAAGTTTGCAAGAAAACAAAAGAAAATAATAAATTAATCATAATAGTGATAATAGTGCACATATATTTTAAATATAATTGTAGTAGTTGCTGATGTTCTTATTATTTCAATAAAACTATTGAAAATAAAACTATGCATCGCTATCATCGTCGATAGATTCATGTGGTGATATTTCATCTATCTCTCCTGGTGATGAAAATGAAGTTTCTATTCTCTCTTCGTTAAATATATCTCGCCTTGTCCAAACGTAATGCTGTGATCTTTTGACAAATAGTTTTGCAATTATCTCGAAAGGTATAAGAGCTAATAAGGTCGTTCAAACGTCATTCGACGCAGCTTATCATAATCTATTAATGTTGAAAGAGTGGCCTAGNGGGAATCGATCGGAAATGGTCCGACGAAATCTGGACCGGAATCCGTTAGTTAGGAAATCGTCGGAATTCAACGGAACTGATCGGTTCCGACCGATTCCAACGTACCCTGATTCTCCTGGGCAGCGAAGTAGCGGATTACGTGGACAAGCCGATCTACTGATGGATCATCAGTGATGATGCAATATCATCATATTCACTTTTTCAACTAGCGCTAATTTATCTATTTGCTGAACTATTTTTCAAATAAAAAACATTACTTAAACTTGAATTTAAATATGAAAAAAAAATCTTCTTAACTAGCAGGGCAGGGCAGGGCAGGGCAGGACACAATTTATTTGATAATGATTTTGCCCTGCTAGGGCAGGGCGAGTTACGATAAAAAGCAGGGCAGGGCAGGGCAATAAAATTGGCCCTGTGGACACCTCTGGTAGACACTCGAGCGTCTTGATCAGTTCTGATTGGACCAGCTCCACCGATGGCAGAAGCGTCTTGCAAATACCTTTTCTAGACACTTCATATCTAATTTGCAACTCACTAATTCTGCAATAGGTATACAATTTTATATGAACAGTAGACATATTAAAAAATATTTTTAATAAGTATTTTTTCATAAATTTCATTTTCAGTTCAAATTCAACAATAATTAAACAAACATTATTTTTTTAAATTATGGTATTTTTTACACTTGCCATGAAATTAGAAAAAATAGTATCATAATTTAAAAAAATAATGTTTGTTTAATTATTGTGTTGAATTTGAACCGAAAATGAAATTTATGAAAAAATACTTATTAAAAATATTTTTTAATATGCCTACCGTTCATATAAAATCGTATACCTATTGTAGAATTAGTGAGCCTCAGATTAGATATGAAGTGTCTAGAAAAGACAGATCTTAGAAAAATGGAGAAAGTGGAGCATTTGAAAAAAGTTGAATTTCAAAATTGCATCAGTATTTTTAGTCTATTTGGTTGTCTAGTGCGTGTCTAATTGAGTCTTATCTTTGCTTAACTTGAATCAAAGTTGTATTATGAATCAAAGTGCTTTTCAGAAAATCGTAATTATAAAATAGATTGTACTAAGATAAAATGTACAGTTTTAATATTATCTAAAACACAAAGAAATCACTATGTACATGTAGTTTAGAATTAAATAAAAAATAAAATAATTAATTTTTCTATAGAGCCATTCTAGATATGAGACAAGACTTTTAATAACTACAAAAAGAACAAAACAATGAATATAGAAAAAAATGCTGCAAAAATCTAAAAAAATAGAATTAACTTTATACGATTATATCTTTTTAAAAAAATTTTAACTTTCAATCTGAGTTTACAATAATTCTTACGTAGAGAAATGACTGAAATCCGTGTACACGACCACAAAAAGTGTGTTACCTGTTCAAAATTCAGGAGACAAAAATAATACTAAGATAGTTACTCGAAAAATAATATTGATATCTAGATGATAAAAGGTGTGAAAGTTTAAACCTCGAAGAAAAAAATACATTACTACCTTGGTTTTCAAAAATAAAAGGATTTAATTTTAATATATTGAGTACGATTTGTTTTCACTTACGAAAATAAATGAACAAAAAGATGAGAAAGAAAGTAACTGAATGTAGGTGATTGGCTAACCGTAGTGACCATGTGAAGCGTCATGAAATAAGTAAGACGTGTTCCCGTCTAACCTACATAAACGTCTATAAACAAGACGCATTTTGCGTCTAGTACGCGCCTGAATAAGACTTAAGACGGATGAAACGTCTCATAAGACGCTTGGCTTTTTTTAGAGTGGCAGAATCAGCCAAAACCGGCATGCACATTGTCATTGGACTTTAGCTTCATCACAAATTTTTTCATTTGGATCTTCGGTTTTGTTGAATTCTAACTACAAATATTAAATAGAAATATAAAGATATTCAATTTCAAGAGAAAACACAAAAGATTACTTCATAAATAACAAGTTTTTCTTTTGTTGTATCGTTAAGAAACTGTGTTAGATCAGGTATAACAGATGTCATCCAAAAGAATATCAAAACAAAGGCGAAGCATTTCTTATGATTTATTTTCAGCTTTTATATTTTCATTTATTGAAAATTCAAGCAAACAGTCATTAAACTAGAAAGTAAGAAATAAAATCAAAATAAATATTAGACAGAAGTAGATTTATAAATGAGTATCATACTTTTTTCACAAATAAAATTAATATCAGCTCGTTGACATGTGTAACGAGCTAAACATGAATCCATGCGATACATTCCGCAATTCATATTTGTACGAAAAATACTATCGAATTGACTTGGCGAACCATTCGTACAAAACAAATTCATCGACGATAAAAGTAATGAACTACCATCTGCCCATTGCCAATTGCCTAAAAGAAGTGCAGCATACAGAGAAATACAGGATTCTTGCTGGATATAATCCAGAAAAACGTTTTTTTTTCTTTCACGACAAAAATATGGTGACCCTTCTGTACTTTTCAAAGCCTGAGACAGCAGTATGCACTTTGCATCTGAGATTAGTCTCATATTCATTGTACTTATATTGAAAGTTAAACATATTCATATCAGATACGGGGTTGCGCGTAAATAAGGATAAAGGCAACGAGAAAATCACACCCACACTCTGAAATATGGAAAATAAACATACCTGAATCACTTGGTTGTTTGGATAATCCAATAAAATAATTAGTATTTGATGAAACTAAAGTATTTGTTTGAGATAATGTTAAACTTTTATATAATTGTATGGCTGTGAATGCTAATAGCTGAGCAGTAAATGATTGACAATAACTAGATGCATCGGTCCAATTCATATAAAACGTTGATACGAAAATACATTTTCCATTCAATATAGACCAACCATTTGGACAACGACCTAAAATAAACAAATAAGATTGCTCATTTAAATAATATTTATTGGTATATATGTATTATTTAACATACGGCAGCCTGTTTGATTGTATGACCAATAAGAATTAGTTGATGGACATGAACAAATCGAGTTTTTATCGCAAACAAGCCCATGAGCATAATTGCATGATAATGTTTTACATGATTGACCATAAGTTTGATAAGGAGCTAAATAATCAAAAAAATTTTAATGTATAATCGTATTCTGCAATCGATTTTTGACTTACAGAGAAGTCCGATTATAAAAATAAGTACGAGTACGAGTACAAGTATTATTACAAGAATAGTTATTCAGTATCAATAACAATTGCCATAATCGACATATCCAAAATCCATTTTTATTTGCATCAAATATTTTTTTTTCTCAATAATCGACGTCGATCTGCTTCAGTCGATGGATGAGGAGGCGGTGTCAACGTTGTTGGTGATCGCTATTCAATAATCAGAATAGATTCTGCAACATACAAATATTTTCTTCACATACTTCATAACGACCCGTAGACGATATTTCATTAATTCCATCGTTTACAAAGGATGAAGCTATTGGCGGTGTAGAAAATTCATGCAGTTTATGTTCCATCTTATATTATTTCTGATGCAAATACTCTGGTTCTTCGTTTTTTTTCAACAGAAATGAAATTCATGCAAGTGCTTCTATGCTTATTTTCATTGACTTCTTTATACATTCATACAATAGAAACCTATGCTTATAAAAAAAACATCTCATTACTATTTTAATTATTATTTCAGATAAATAATCTTAGAGAACAAAATCTGAGTAGATCAAAACAGGCTATGAAAGTACAAAATATTTAGTATTTTATTCAACCAAATATAATATTCAATGTAATATGATATTTGTCATAAGGTGTAGAAAAAAGCAATCATAAAGGATTAAAAACTATATATATATATATATATATGTGTATTTATATTAAAAATTGGTAATAGTATCATTAGCGATATAGAGAGAGTAACAGTAAGTTTTTAAATTCCTTTGGAAAATTGTATTCTTATGAGAACTCGTTTAAGATGAAGTGTGGAATTGTTCTTTTTACTCTTGTCATTGGTGTAATTCAAGCAAAGTTACGAGTAGACCAAGTATGGCCAGGAGGTTTTCAAGGAGCCATAGAAATTCCAATTTCAAATCAAGTAATTGGATGGAATATCGAAATTCAATTTCATAAAAAAGCAAGATTGGATGTATGTAACAAAAAGCATGATTTGTCTTTTTGTTCTTTAAAACTAAACAAGTCTTTTGTTTTCTATCAAAACATTTATCTTAGGCATGGCTAGGCATACTTCGATCTGAAACTGACGGAAAAATCTTTTTATATGATAATCAGCCTTGGAATGAAAAATTAGAAGCTAATACTGTATTCAGTTTTGAATTCACTGTTAATGACGGTGTTACACCAAGTGATGTAAAAAGCATTTCATTCAAAGGTCAACCAGTCAATATTGATTCTTTATCTTCGTCGACTACTGGATCAACACCAAATCCAACAGGAAGTACACCAACCTTTCAGTCAACATCTGCATCATCTACAACACCGCTTGTAGCCGTCATAGATGGAAAATATAATTATGGGGCTGTTCTTCAAGCTTCACTTCTTTTTTATGAAGCCCAACGAGCTGGTAAACTTCCAGCTAATAACCGTATTCGTTGGCGAGGTAATTCCATGTTAATGGATAAAGGAGAAAACGGAGAAGATTTAACTGGTGGATATTTTGATGCTGGTGATTACGTTAAGTTCGGTTTTCCGATGGCCTCATTTACAACATTATTAGCATGGGGTGCTATCGAATATAAAGATGCATATGAGAAAGCAGGTGAATTCAACGCAATGCTCCAAGCTATTCGTTGGTCAACTGATTATTTTATTAAGGTTAGCTAGTATGAATTTATTTTCGAGAAAACATTTTCAAAAAAAGTCCGTCAGTTTATTTACTTTCATGCATTTCAAACTATAATTTGCCATTTGAAAATGAAATGTGATAACATATCAATGCAAAGTGTTGTTCTCATTTTTTTCTCTTCTTCTGTCTTTCATAGGCACACGTTAGTGAACGTGAATTTTATGGACAAGTAGGTGATGGACATGCAGATCATGCATCATGGTCACGACCAGAAGATTGGACAGCGGCTCGACCAGCATGGAAAGTAACTACACAAAAGCCTGGTACTGATTTAGTATGCGAAACAGCTGCTGCTCTTGCTGCTACTTCGATTCTGTTTCGTTCGGTTGATGCTGCATATTCATCAGAATTACTAACACATGCTCAACAATTATACAAGTTTGGCAATGAATATCGTGGCAAATATTCAGATTCAATTCCAAATGCAGCTGAATTCTATCGATCATGGTCTGGTTTTGGTGATGAATTAGCATGGGCTGCTGCTTGGCTTCTACGTGCTACTGGTGACGCAAGTTACGAAGCAGATGTAGAAAGACATTATAGAGAATTTGGTCTCGATAAACGACCCAATGAATTTGGTTGGGATGAAAAAACAGCAGGCGTTCAAATACTCATGGCTAAAATTACAACAAAGCAAGTTTATCGTCAGCAAGCTGAAACATTCTGTAATTATATTGTACGACAAGCTCCAAAATCATTGAAAGGTCTCGTATTTCTCAGTCAATGGGGAGCACTTCGACATGCTGGAAATGTAGCTTTTGTTTGTTTACAAGTATGATTTTTCGATGATTTCGAAAAGAAAAAAAAATCTATCTTTATATTTTAAAGGCTGCTGAAGCCGGTATTAATAGTCAAGAATATATCGATTTTGCTGCTCGACAAATTAACTATATGTTAGGTGATTCAGGACGATCATATGTTATTGGTTTTGGTCAAAATTTTCCTCAACGACCTCACCATAGATCAAGGTTATTGATAAAACACGACTGTTGTTATTGTTTCATAGTAAAAATCTGTTTTATTTTTATTTCACTAGTTCGTGCCCATCGCGACCGGCAGTCTGCGATTGGAATGCTTACAATAGTCCTCAGCCCAATCCTCAATTACTAATTGGTGCTTTAGTTGGTGGACCTGATCAAAATGATAGTTATGAAGATCGCCGTGATGATTATATTAAAAATGAAGTTGCTACTGATTACAATGGCGGTTTTCAATCAGCTGTTGCTGGTTTACTTCATTATCAAATGAAATAGTGTGATTGGCTGTGTATTCGGCAGAAAGAGAGAGAGAGAGAGAGAGAGAGAGAGAATGAAAAATATTCTAAATTTCTGATTATAAATAAAAATGAAAAAGAAACAATGTGTCGATTTGCAATGAAGACATACACGCACAACCTTTTACTCGTTGCTATTGTCTAACCCTTTTTTTTTCTTTCGCTCATTTTATCATTTTTCTATTGACTCAAGGCTTATCTCATTTTCTAATTCTGTTGGCTCATTCGGTATTGAAGAAGATCTGTTCGTTTTATTTTGCATATACCGATGTCATCGAATCTTATTCATCGTCTATGTACATGGTCATCAAAGCAAATATTTATTGTTTTTGCTGCTTTTCTTGTTTATGTCCTTGCTGATGGTACAACATTTTCGTTCGGACTCTATGTCGATGCGCTTATCTATGAATATTCACAGACAAAAAATAATACAGCGTTCACTGTCAGTACTATAGCTGCCTTTACACAATCAATACCACTTCTTCTAAGTCCACTTGTATGTTGGGGCACAATGAAATTTGGTGCTAGTAAAACATCACTGATTGGCTGTATTCTTTCAGCTAGTGGATATTGTCTGCCATATGTTTTTCAATATTATAAAACATTTTGGATATCAGCCTTTGGCTATGGATGTTTATTGAGTGTTGGACTTGCATTTTGTTATGTACCTGCTTATTTAACTTTGCCGTTTTATTTCGAAGATGATCGAGGCTTAGCTACAGGCTTAGCTGTATCTGGAAGTGGATTTGGTCAAGTAGTTTTAGCAATTCTTATTAAATCCTGTATCATTGAATATGAGTGGCGCGGTGCATCTCTTATCACAGGTAGAGAAAACAGAAGAGTTATAAGATGAGCTTTTATTTCTATTATTATTTTACATTATTGATTTTGCATTACATTCTATCATGAAATTTGATTAAAATGTCAATCGGTTTAAATATAGATCAAAGAGAAAATAAATACTTTTTTTTGTTAAATATTCTCTCTTAAATATGATCTTTATTATGTTCTATCTCATTCGAAAAGGTTAAAATAAGTGATTAATTAGCCAAAAGAAAAGCCAAATGCCAGAGAAATGGATACAGTCTTTTTTTAGGAATAGTTTAGTCGATTTAATCAATTACGATTCATTTGCTGATATTTGTATTTTCTCTTTTTTTTAGGTGGTCTCTTTCTCTTTATGCTCATATCAGTTGTTGCATTTCGAAAACCTGCTTCGATACTCCCACCTGAATCAAGAGAACTTATTGAATTTTCAAATATTCCATCTGTAACTCCCATAGTCAACGAGGAACATCCACGAGATGAAGAAACACCAACTGAACACACACAATCTCGTCGTTCTCGTGGTGCAACTTTTGCTCAAGTTTTACCACTTTTGATTGCTTCTGTTCCAGTTCATACACGTGTCACTATTCCTAGCATTGAACCTCATACTAGTCGGCGACATTCATTTTATCTTCGAACACACTCGCCCACTATAACCGGCGACAGTCTTTCAGTTCTTGTCGTTCCTAAAAAACGTGTACCAAGAACTCGAGCAAACACTATTGCTGTACCACTGCAAACAAAGCGACAACTCGACGGATCATTTGAACAAATTCGGCAACCTCTGTGTCCATTTTCTCTTGCACCGATCGCTGCGGCAGATGAAAATAGTGAGGGCGATGAGAAACCATCATCACCATTATTCTGCTCATCCCCAGATCCACCGCTACCACCACGAATACAACCATCAGAGCCTTTACCACCAGAACAAATAGAAATAGTAGATGAATCTCTTAAAGAACGACACTGGCTAATCAATAGTCGTTTTCTTCTCTTTTGTTTATCAAATTTTACTCTATGTCTCGTTATGGGTGTACCATATGTTATTTTTCCAACTTATATTTCTGAAACATTTCTTGATCACGGTTATTTTTCATCATGGACCTTATCTAATGTCGGTGTTGCATCAGCACTTGGACAGATTTTACTTGGTTATGTACATGATCGAAAAATATGTTCTGCTTGGCTTATGTATACGTGTGCAGTTATTATATCTGGCACATCATTGGTTATCCTTGCTTTTTTTCCTTATAAAATCGTTGTTCTGGTTTGCGCATTTATGTTTGGCTTAGCAATTAGCGCCAATTATGCATTACAAGTACTTATTGTTATTGATGCTTTATCAATCGACAACATGGCAAATGCTTTTGGAATATTACAATTTTGTCAAGGTGTGAGTACATTAATTGGCATTCCAATTCAAGGTATGTAAACATATATATATATATACTTTTGATCAAAAGAAGATTAATTTAATTTATTTTCCCGTTAATTTTAGGTTTATTACGTGATGTTAGTCATACATATAAACTTTCTTTTCTTACATCAGGTTTTATTATAATACTCTCTGGTGTGGCTATGTTCTTTTGGCCATGTTTAAAAACGACGAATACAAAGAAGATTAATAATGTTGACAACGAAAAATGATAAATATCTTTAATCATTTGGATTTATATTTTCATAAATGTCTTGCTGTGGACGATGAAGACAAAACCAGAAAGATTTATTTTGACTAATACATTCTTCAAAATCAGTTTTGTAACTGATTGATGCAAGATTTTGATTTTCTTGAATGGTTGGCACACTGCGTTTGCATGAAATTGCAGAAAATTGACATTGAAGAAATGCTCTTTGTTGGCTCATAAATGATTTAGGATAAGACTACAATAAATACATACTTATCTGTAGAATTAGATATTAAAAAGACAAATTATATACCGTAATCAATTGAAGATGACTAAGTAGTACCAACAAAACAAAAAGATTTCGATAGGAATTTTTCATATCTGCTTGTTAGTATAATGAATACGTGGTATATTTACTTAAAATATAATAAGTACGTGATAGCAAGTGTCTCTTATATATATATATATGTGTGTGTGTGAAGATAGAGAGAGAGTGTGTTAAACTCAGCAGTATGTCGCCTGTGAATGAATATATTTTGATGATCTCCCAAGTAATTCGAAATATACCTCAATGACTTTGTAGAAAAGAATAAATAAATCTATGATGAATACATTAATTAGTATAAAGAGCATTCATAAAGAATTTTCAGTCAGAATATTACTTGTATTCGCCTACTCTGAAAATCCTATAATTAATTTTTTTGTATGCACTTCTCAGCTATTTATTTGCGCTTACTTTATTTAACTATTGAAGTACAACTCATTAGCGAAGCGTGGGCAATAAGAAACAAAATCAAAATGTGTAATTTATATCTCTGTTGGAAGCAATTCAATTTTGGTAATTTCAACAGAATGTTTTGAATGGCGTACATATCTTTAATTTCATATTCACTGTGTTTTACCATCGAAGTTTAAGCAAAAGCAAATCATTGGATTATTCGAGTTTCAAATCGATTTATTAGTTTGTCCAGTATTTCTGAAGGGATCTCAACAATCAATCCTTCGAACTGAGTACATGTTAGGGAAACATATGTTTTACGATTCATATATAGCATCCATTTTTACATGAGACATTCCAGAAGTTTCATGCAACATATACTTTGGTAACATTGATAAAATCCATAAAATATTGAAATATTATAAAAGCATGATACTTATGTCTTACATTTCTAAGATCATTGATGACTGTTTCCATGCAAGAAAAAGCCGAAGACAAATTGTTTTTTTTTCACCTAGACAATCTACACATGCTCATTGTGTTGTACCAATTGAAGATGAAAGTTACGATATCACTAAAGAAGTCAATCGATTGCAGCAGCTGCATTCCTTGTTTAATCTTCATTTTTTTTAAAACTTAATACACAATTCAAATACAATGGTTTGACACAAATATAAATAGATGCTAAGTACTCTGACACTAGCTACATTGTATTCACAGTTGAAGATAATTAATACTATTGAAACAGTTGCAACCTTGAAGTTTTAGTACACAAAATTATAGCTTATATTAGACATACATTTGTTTCGATGAAATTTAGTGATTAAACTAAATTTTTGTTGTGTTTTTTCTAATTGTGTAACTTGTCTATCTAAACGGATATGTTATTTTTGTTCGATTCATAGAAATACAAACTGTCTGCTGTGCAATCAATGTGATAGTTAACAAAAGAGATTATTAATTTTTTATTAATATCTTTTTTATTTGCACTGTGTTTGAATTCTATGTAGTTTAATTGCCTTCGCTTTTGTTGTTCATCAAGATTTCATTTAACATAGTGTGATAATGACTCTAATTTAGATTGCTTTTATAATTCCAATATCTGGTTCACAGAAGAAAAAACGTTCGTGCATGAACCTACTTGTATGTTGACATATGAAAAGGTGATAACGCTTAAAATATAATTTGTAATGACAAGCATTTTTTTGTTCATACAATTTAGACTCAAAACGAATACGACTAGAAATATTTATGAAAGAATCGTTTTCTATCTTTCGTATAAACAAAAAGACTTGACAATTCTATGGATAAAACGCCACATGCTCTGATGCTACTGCGTAATGAACAGATAGATCATTGCACAGCTATTAAGAAATAAGCTCGATGAAATATTGAAGTATGCTTAACTCAATGGTTTCAACTATACAGGGTTGACTTTTATTTTTCTCAATACTTTTCATGCCATGTCAAGCTGACGCCTCCTGATTTGTGTGTCTTGACTTTTTTCCATAGTTTTTGAATGATACATGAAAACACATACACAAAAATAAAATATCATTACTTTGCAATCTATATTGATTCCATGCTAAACACAACTGACTCAAATGCTGAATCTTTGTTCATTATAATGTATCAACAAATAAACCAAAAAAAAGAAACGCCTTTCAGCAAGCAGGTATTTATACAGTTCGAAATAAGTATTAGCAGAGATTTCTTAAATACACATTCATCATCGTCTTTTTTCTCGACGAAACAGTATTCTAATTACATTCGTTTAAAAAGCACTCATATGCATTCAATTATGTTTGTTACCTGTTCTCAATGGCAGTTATCATTTGATCTATGTCATAGATTAATTTCGTTTTTCTTTTTGCTTTCTTTCAATTACCTCATTGATAAAAATATAATTAATACCATACAATTTTCGTTATACGTCGTTTGTCTATTAAGCGTGGTCAAGTTGTACTGGCGAGAAAAAGAAAACGAAACAATCTGTCTCGTAATTCAGTTAGTCTATGTATACAATTGAAGCGAACCTTAGCAAAACTAATAGTGATAGACAAAGTTGTACCCTATAAAAGATGAAAGCTATACTTATTTGAACATAGATTCATTTTTTTTTTATAAAAGAAAGTATGTATAAAAAATTTCTATATGCATATGTGAACCCGTTTATTTAATCTCAGCTGGTAGGTGAAGAGCCGTATATTAAAAACCTCTTGTTATCAACTGAGATTTCATGAACATGGATCATATTGTCAATGAGTGCAATAATTAAAGGTTTACTCTGTGGTATGTGATTTGAGTATTGCACTTGGTATTGACTCGAATATTCTATTGCCAATACCGATGTCAATGCTCTTGTCATACTACAATATACATTTCGATAGATAATCGAAACAAGATTAAATAATTGTTCGTATAGTTTTTTTTATATATTTTATTAGGTTATTCTGAAAAATTTTCAAAAATAGTTTCCTATAGAAAAATTCTGAAGGAGAACATATTGTTATTAGTATTTTACTAACGTTTTGTATTTACAAATAGGACCTGACTTTTCGGATTGCAGTATATGCATTTAAAAGTAAATATGATTTCTGACTGCATGCAGTTTCATTCATTTCTAAACACAATGAATAAAATAAAATCATTCTTAAATTTAAAATAACAGCGAAATTTTTATAATAATGCCGATCATTTGTTCAAGTAGAAACAATCAGTTACACTCAAGAGTTGAAACTTTAATAAAGAAAAGAAAAGAAAACTCAAAATACAGAACTTTGACATATCCTTCGACAAAGTAAGAGCTTAAGTGTATTGTTGTATTGAGTTTTTGTTTTTTTAAAATCTTATTCAAATATTTTATTTGTAAGAGAATGCTTTTTACAAGATAAATAGATGAACATACAATCGCATAACTTTCATCGAATATCAATTCTTCGGATCCGGTGTCAGTGATTGAAAAACGTTTGAAAATTATTTTGAATTTTTTTTCTTAAAAATTATCAAGATCGGTGCTCTTTGATTTATTTCTTAGTGTGTTTTTTCTCATAAAACCTATCAAAAGAGCTATCCTGCTCTATATTCTGTTTCATGATGGTGCCCTTTATCCTTTTCTTTTTAAACATGTGTTCTTAAAAAGAAAAAGACTCATGTATGAGACAAAAGCGAAAAGCTACAATGAAAAGAGAAACCAATAAAATGTCATTATAGAGGTTTCATGGTTTACAGTTAGAGAATCGAAATATAATGTCCTATTCAGGTGCATCTATTGTATAAACATGCAATATAAAGTTCAAAGTAAAGAATCAAAGATCTAATATCGATGAAATACACGTATTCGATGAGAGTGTGCATTTTATTATATGGTTTCTTGTTCGATTGCGCCTGTAAATGCCTACAAGTAAAAATCGATACAATGAACATCTTAATACGTTAAATACACATTATTATGGCAAAAAAAGCCATTAATGTCATTGTAGCATGAAATAAACGATTTCGTGAATAGCTCGATGAATACAAATCATAAATATTTTTTCAAGCCTGTTCCATTCAAAATCAGTGGGTTAAATTTGTAAAAAAACGCAATTTTTTGCGAATTTTATAACACTTCTTACACAGTGCCCATCAGATTATTTTCAAGACCCTATTACATCTCATTCTTTTTGGCCATTCATATTAGTAAATAATATTTATCTAACGTATTCTTTCTTTCGTAAGCTTTATTAATTAATAATTTAAGATAAATTATCATTTCAAAGATTATTCGCTGATAGAATAATATACATAGAAGATGTTTAATAAAAAAAAGTTTTTATCGTCAAAAGTAATTTATAATTTTATATAATATCATATGTTTCATATGAGTGATTAGTCATTTGCATTCATAGAGAGCATTTAATTAATAGAATAGAATTGAATTATATAACATAATCGAATCCTGACATAAGTTGAATAAAAACATGAGGGTACATTTTCAATAATTTGAAGTTCGTGACAACACATACTTAATCAAACAGTATAAACTAAACATATCAATCGGTGCATAATTTCTAGATATTCAAAATTGAGGTAATTCTTTACAAAGGTGCTCCTTTTATCAGTGCTTATAACTAAGTACATAGACAATGTTAATGTATGTGTTTATTGGTTTGGATTTAATCAGACCCTCAAGAAAAGAAAACGAACTCTTAAACCATACAAGTCATACATGCTTACAAGTTTACTCATGTATAAGCAGGTACTTGAATTGTCAGTAAACTATCTGTAAATAAAATCATTATACTCATCTCGAACATTGTATGTAAATTCAAAACAATGTCATGTACGTATACAATAAAGCTTAGCAACTGTTAATATTTGCAATGACTCTGCAAGACATGCCATTTGAAAGGAACGAACATGTACGTTTTCAAGTAAATAATAAAATTTTAACGCTTCTAATGTATGTCATTTTTTAGTCTTATCAATCAAATGCAACACTAAAAGGGCAGAGTGTATGAGCAACTTACTCTAGTTCTACGAAATCCTATTTTAATTTGTATGCCTCATGACGAAGAACTAATTTAATGGTGTATGTTTAAAATGTAATAGAAATGAAAAGAATTTTTTCTTTTTCATAGCAGGTGGTGTGTGTATATCAGCATGAAGCGAAATTCAAATAAAAGCTTTGCAGTGTTGCAATAACGTGCACAGCACAAGAATTCAGTGGCAGAAAAGAAAAAATATTTTTTAAGACGTGGGAGGAGAATCACGAGCGAACATTTTTTCTCTCCATGGGAACTAACAGTATAAAAAGAATGTATATTTGTGTGTGGGTGAATAGATTATCATTTGCAATAACTTGAAAAGAAAAATATTGTTTTACGATGAAATCGATTATCCTCTTGTCTTTGGTAAGAATTTTTTTCTCGTAGTTATTTTATCTATTTTTATTTATATGATCACTTTTGTCTTTTAAATCTAGTTGGCTACTATCGTCACGGTACTATCATTACATAGTGTTAGCGGAGCTCCAGCAAAATCAAAACGTGCCGCGAATAACAGTAGTGCTATACAAAAACATCCAGTTTCGCCAATTCGTAAACCTCACACACAGCAAACAGCAATATCAGGAAAAATTACATCAAATCTCGGAACTCATCCACAACAGATCAAAAAGTCAGCAAAATCTTTGCCCGTACGAAATGTTCGTACGGTTTCTGGTGGTGCTTCGTCAAAAGCAAAAACTACTAGACGGGCTACATCTCGAACCACTACTACACCCAAAACGAGAACGACTACAAGAAGACGTAAGTCTAATACATAAGACAATTAATTTATAGTTCATTTATATTTTGTTGTTTTGCAAATAGGTGCGCCAGTGACTCGTAAGAAACGTTTATCTTCGTGGGAATGGGAATGATCATTTTACTGACTACATACAATATTACAAGAAATATAATTGAAGAACAAATTGTTTTCATGCAGTTTTATATTTTGTTATGATTGAATGATCACGCTTTTTTTCTATCATTTTGTTAATTAAAATCTGGCAAATTTACATTTGTCAAATACGTTCTCATAGTACGCATTTTTGATTAGCCTATACAGCTTAGATCTTCTTCTGCTTATTTCAAATATCAGTATTTTGAATCAAATCAATAGCATCGCTTGTTAGTGGTTTCATTTAGAAATAAAACAAAATTCTTTGATATATCTTAAAATCATTCTAGTAAAAATAACATACGATGTGACATGCAGCTATGATTGATTATGTGAAATATTGAATATGTGATAAACATCTTTTCTTGTTTTTCACGTTTTATCAATACATAAACGTAAAACAAAGTCTATTTGAAGATGGATTTTGGGACTTAATTGAGTAAACCGAATAGTATTACACTACATTTAATCAAATCTATTTCATCTCTCTTTCTTTCTTGCTTTATTTTTTGTTTTATTCCTATCATTAATTACTTGTTTTTCGTCATGTAGAAATTCTAATCACAATGTCCAATTCTCTGTCTATGTCAATGATAATAATTCATAAACAAAACTGAATGATTAAATCGTAGCCTAGAGTGTCAATATAAAAGTTACACTTAACCTTCTTTTTTTCGACGCTCATTGGCTGAGAAAAATGTTTCAAAAAAACACAAAACAGAAAAAAATACTATCGAAAATCCATTTGTTATCAGTGCGAAAAATATGGCTATGTTCAAGAGGTAAAAGTGAATAATAATAAAAAACTAATTTATTTGAAGCTCAGTGAATTTTAATTTAATTAAAGTATTGAGTTATCTACAACTATTTGAGTTGAAAGTTTGCTTTTATTCCATTCTACCCATTCTTCTGATGACAAATCATCGGGTTCAGTTTCAGGTTCTTGCACCCATCCTTGTCGTTGTGCTAGTTCGAATAGAATAAAAATAAAGGCTAGCATAGCATAAGCAACAGTAAATCGCCATCCGTCATCAGTTTCTCTATACAGAACTCCAACTTTTGATGCGTGTATTAAACCAAAAAAGGATAGTAGACTAGCAAGTAACGACCAAATAGTAGCTCGAATAAATTTTCGATCAATCATATATATCATAATAGCTGAGATAAAAATACATTGAAGAAGACTACCACCAGCAAAATTGTTGAGACCACGAAAAGAAAAATCTGTTATCAGTGATGTAACGTTTGTTTGAAAATCAAGATTTGCTATTTGTAACCGGGAATAGGCAGATGTAACACCGTTCATTATAGTCGTTCGTGACCAATCAGCTATGACTGGCATAATACCAACAAGAAATGCTGGATAATGACGTCGTGGTGTAATGGCGAGAGTCTCTGCACATATGAAAAGACCAATAAAGATCTATAAATAAATATGTTGTTCTTTATATTTCATAATGTGTGCAGCATAAGAGTTTTTTTAATTTTGTGTCCAATAAATTAAAGATAAACAAGAAATTTCTTTGTAGTTGAACTATTCTACTAAATCTTCGATCGTTAATTTGTCGTTAAATTTATCTTTCAATATTATTTTTACAATAGTATATATGAGAAGTGAACAGAACATGAGCATTTAGTTTCCATGAGTGTAGTTTAAATCTTGAAAATTGTGTAAGGAAGGAAAGAACAGGGAAGTAGGCCAGATGACAGACTTCTAGAGTTTATTATAATAAATCAACGCATGTTCGAATAAATGATCTCAACGGCGAAGGTCTTTAAGGATTGTTCATGAGTTCGAGTACACATCTTCACACCTCAAAATCACACTTACTATCAAAATACACATGGCTTGACATGTGAATAGTAACTAGAGAAAGAGAGGCCCTTCTTTTTTAATAATCTCATCTTTTTTCTTTTTCTTTTGTAATTCATTTATCTTAAAGGTAGAAGAATAATATAAATATATTTTTCGGTCGACTCTATGTAGAAGTTCCTATCCATGATGAGTAAGGCATGTTTTTTACTGCTAATAACTGTGAGTTTCCCGTGATATTTCTGAAAAACAGGAATACCAGCTGTCTAGAGGGAATAAGGAGTTAAATTTCAAATATATCGATTTCTTTACATCAAGGGCTGCCTCTATTTAAACTCTATTCGTCTGGCAATGAAAGCTTGAATATCACCCGAATATATCTAGTCTTATTAAATAACAACATAAACAGCTCTATTGTTGAAGATTTCATAGAAATCAAATTTCTTTAGAGAATTAGGTTTCAAATTTCATCTGTTGCAGCCTATTAAATTACATTATTTTATCGGTATTTTTACCTTTTTTTACAAAGCTTTTTCTCTTCTAAAGCTACATTGAAAATGATCTGTTACTTACAATGACTGGATTCACGGCAACAACAGAAATCACTCTAAGAAAAAGAGCAATTATACCAAAAAAACATAATAGAACATAAATAAGACAGTTGGCGATTGAATAAGTTTGTCTCGCACCCATTTTTTTATATGCTGGTTGACCAATATATGCTAGACGATAGAAGAAGCATAGTGTATGATGTTCAAATAATATAAATATATAACATTGAGAACATAACTTACTGGTCATACCAAGAAATGATCCAAAAAAACTTGCAATTATGGTTCCGATTCCATCAGCGAACATGGCTTCATGAGTTGGATAGAAATCACCAGCTCTTTTTGCTGATTCAACACATTGTATGGTACCAATAGCAATTGAAATAGCCGTTGGTATTGTAGTTGATAAATATGGTCCAACACGATTAATATTATCAAAGACATTTTTAATTGTGACTGTAGGTGAATAAGGCTTGATGATAAGAGTTGCATCAATAACATCTTGCGCTTTATTGAGCGCTGTTGCCCAACCTAGACTCGTACCAATGACAAGAGCTACAACAGCTACTGGAATAGGGCCGATTTTAACTAGATGAAAAAAAAACAGAAGAAACAGAAATAAATATCAAATCCAAGATTTTAATAAAATTTACTTCCACTAAAATAACCAATCATGACAATAGCAAACGGAAGAAAAGATACTATGGGTGTAGCAGCTATGGGCAAGTATTGATTTAATGCTAAATAAGTAAATCCAACTGCTGACAAAGATGATAGTAGTGCAACACCAGGTATATTACGACGAATAAATTCACCAAATAAACATAACAATAGGATAATAGCACCAGTTATAAAATTACTTGCTAATGCTACATACCAAGCAAGTTCTTGGCATTCACGTTTATTAGAGCCATTGGTTTCTTGTATGCAATTATTATACACAGGAAATATAATACCAAAGACAAATGCAACTAATTAAATTTATATATAAATACTATTGCAAAAACAAAACGATTTAATAATTACATGCTCCTGGTGTATTAATTCCATATGGCATTGCACATATGTCACCTCGTTTATCTTTATAGGCTAATTTTCGAGCCATATAAACATAATATAAGTTACCCCATAACATGGCCAATGCCACTCTAGAAAGATAAACAAAACTTCTAATATCACTTCATAGTTTATCTTTAATTCGTACCCCGGTGCAATACTTCCATACACAATATCGTTGTCAAAAACAGTTAGAAGACTGAGAATAATTGTCAATAATGTTGCCATATTATCAATAAATAAGGCGACTAGGCCATCTATGTCTCCTTTTGTAAATAACGGATATATAGGATTTGGTCGAAAAGCATCTCGCCATGTAGAAGGATGAAATGTCAATAATTCAAGTATTTCCTTCTTCAATGTATTCCAACGTTGTACAAAAACCATGCGAACTCTATGATTTTTTACTAAGACGTCAACATTATTTTCTTCTGGATCTTCCACTGGCATGTTGCGCTTTATAGATCAAAAGTATCTAGATTGGAATATGTGCAAAATAACCATGAACTTAAGAAAAAGGCATTTACTTCTATTAAGTTGTAGGAAGTCAGATGCATCTATATCTCTACGTTTACGTGACTCATGAATGCTTTTTTACAAATATAAAGGTGAAATTGATAATATACGTGTCGTTTTGAGATTATCTTATTCTTTTGTTAATACAAAATACAAACAGCGATTATAGAAGTCTAATGATGACACCCTCTCGCGTGAAAAATATTTATGCGAAGTTGACCGGTTTTTATTTTAAGTCATAAACGATTGGTATTTGATGAAAAAAGATGACACTATATAACCATTTAAATTACGAAGACTTCAAAAAATCGTAGATGTGATCGCCTATGTATGTTTTATTGATACTATTCTGAAAATTTATTATTTATGTGATATTTTCTTCTATCATTTATGCTTTTTTACTGAATCCAAGAATCTACATTATAGTCACCTACTATTATTGAAAAATAAGATGTTTCTAACTTACGTAGCTGCATTGGCAATGAAGTTAGAAGTAATAGAATTTATCTGCATTGTTAATAGTGTTTTTTCTGATGAATTTCTTATCTGAGCCATGAGAGCAATAAATATATTTAATCGTGTCCCATATAATATCTCTATTTGCTTAGCTTCACATGAAGAATGGAAATTATTGATTATTTTCTAACATCCTCAATTTGGATAAGAAAAGGCGTTTTCTAGGGTACAAATACTTGTTAATATACTGCAGATGCTATCTTTTGACATAGATTTTACCGTAAACAAGAAATATCTTCTACGCATTCTTGTTTTATAAATGTTAAATCACTCAAGAAAACATTTCTATTCAGTGTAACCTTTTTATTAAGACCCAATAGTGAATTATATCAATAGAAGACAAATCATTCTTTCGTTTTTAGCCTATCTTTCATACAGCATTTCGTGTAGAAATAAGAATTGAAGTACTCTTCTAATCGCTGATACGCCAAGTTTGTACGGATCAACTTTTGTTATTGTCGTAATGGCTGTTACAAGTATACTTGAAGAAAAGAATTCATAATAGATTGCAAGTGTCCTTTAATCTTTTTGAAAAAAATTGAGTCTCTGAAGAAAAGTCTTATTTAACGGCAGTAGTAGATTTTTACAATCACAGAAAAAAAATGATTTATTTTACTTCAATCTAAACGGAATTCCTTCGATTATGACAAAATTATAGTTCGCTGAATCAGACTAAATTGTTTATTTATTAAGCATATTGACTAACAAAAAGTTACGAAACTATCAGCGAATGATAGATTTCATTTTATAATTTCGGAAAGTTTTGTTAACTACTAGTAGCATCATCAATCAAAAACAATATAATAATACTAATAATAGAAATTCTATTTGATCATAAAAAAAATAGAACAAATCTCAAGTACCTTCTCACGTAGAGAGAACGAAGAACTTCATTTCTATTTTCTCTTCTATACCTCGAATGTATTTGACTTTTTGTCTACTGTTTTTAAAACGAATATAACTGCTGTTATTTGTTAATTTTACTAATAAAAGTGGCGGCAAATGTCTATATGATAAAATAAAAATTTTTATTTGATAACAGTTTATTTCATTTTAAATTATATTGAATTGGTAGGAATTTTTCTCAATTATATTCATGGGATAATTTTAAAAAAAAAGATTATGTACATATATACACATAAATGGTCAAGACATTTTAGTTGACCTTTTGCATTTTCTTCATTAATACTAACAACGTAAAAGAAAAAACTTAGATTCGAATGTCTCAATTCAATCTTGATAATCTTAGTCTCTATACTTTTTCATTGGAATTTAAAATAATTTTTCTTTGCCTAACTTAGGTGTAGAGAGGGAATGACTTTGACGAGCTGTAAATTTCATTCAACTCCAAAACATAATGCAAACCTTTCAATGTTGACTGGATCGGTAAATCGATATTGTCTAAAAACTTAAGAATGGTACGAATGATTGAAAATGAAATGCTGCCTATTCCGAATGGGACAGTTATTTTAATATAAATAAAAATAAACTATTTATTTGATGCTGGTTTTTCTTTTTTTATGTTTATTATAAAAATAATTATTGTCATATTGGAGAAGAACGAATAATTGATTTTATGTATCAAATAATAATTTTCTTTTCTTTTTGTTACGAGTTTGTCGAATGACTGTGTATCCAAGCAAAACTTGTACCATGCCAGTTTTGCGTTCAAATAAATGTGTATCCTTTGGACATTTCTTGGTTTGATGGACCTATGTTGAAAATCAAATACTTTTTTCAGTAATACATGTTATCCTCGTAGTTGTTCGAAGTCAGCTATTTTCAATGTAACAATTTTATAAATGTATCTTAACCTCGATTCGATCTTTATCGATGCAAGTTATAAAAGAAAACATAGAACGAAGACTAATCAGAGAGTTTTTCCCCTGCAAAATCAAATTGAAATATTTTCCCCCGATTCAATTGTTTCACTAAGCCAGTTTTTGGTACGCTCGCGTACCTATGCTTTCAAATGAAACAATAATAAGACACTCTTGTATTTTATGATATTTATTTCTTCAAACTTGATAAAAATAAAATTTATTTTCGTTTGTATAAAATCAACTTTTTTATTTCGTTAACAGCGAAGATGCTTCATTGGTAATGAACACTATCCAATTTCAATAAAACGTAGAAGAACTAAAAATCTTTCCGAATAATCACTCATATTCCAAGGGATAAAAAAAACTTATCTTTATTGATTTACATCAAACCAATGGTAGCACAGGAAGCAACTGAAAGAAGCAATACTAATAAAGAATATTTTCACTTTTAGTGACTGTTTTACAGATTGTGTACATCAAGTTTACTTGCCACAAACATTGATAAATTCATCAAATATGCGTCATTTGATGGACCTTGTCATCTATTTCTTTTCAGTCTGAAACCGAAAGCTCCAATAACGTAACATTTACGGTAGTATTAGTTGTCGTCTCGAAATCTTTCTTTTTTTGTTGTTGATAAAGCGTGCTAAATTTGGTTGATCAAAACACAAAACTTAGTAGATTTAAAATAGTGCATTGAAATCATTTTTTTTATAAAACGTTTTCTTGTTCTCATGTGAGTTCCTTTTGCGTGTCGTTGAAGTTTTAGGATTGGTTCTATTTCTTGCTATTTGCAGTGTTACAACAGAGTTTATAAATGAAAAATAGTAATTGCAACATAGTTTCATAAGTTTTCTTTTCAATATCATTTTCTAATATCTGGAAGTTTTTCTTTTCTTATGCTTATTTCCCTGGCAAATCAATAGCATAGAATAGTATAAATTAATTTGCTTGTAGACACTTGTTGTCAACAATGTTTCGTAATAAAGTGCCAATCAATCAATGCTAACAAAGAACACAAAAATATATCGAGTCGTTTCAAAATAATTTCAATTTCATATCCATTCTAAAATTCGAAGTAGACTCATCGCTTATGAAATCATAGAACTTCGGAATAGTTCCAAATGTGAAATGAAGTGAAAACACATTTTTATATATTGAGCCCAATAGAACGATGCGTTTAGTATATGTTTTGACCAAATACATTGTCATATTCAACTCTTTTCAATAATGGATTGGCAGAATCAGAATTTAGCGTGCTTTCGTGCTGCATTTCAAGACATGCATGACTAGGGCAAATAGCAAACATCTCTTTCGAAACTTCATCTACTTGATAAACTTGTAACTATTTAGAAGGATACTTGATATTAGGCTTATGAAATATAAATGTAAAATAGATTGCTCCAAAGTTATTTTGTACTCCAAATAACTAAATATCATCGGTACATCTAGCATAGTAAAGTATAGAATTCAATCTTTTCCTTATATTGACAGTAGTGCCGTTTTCATATCGTTTTGCATTCATCGTTCACTCATGGAATAAATAATCTATATAGATAGACAAAAACTTACTTAAACTAGATGGTATTCAAGTTTCACTCGAATACGAATGCGATGCGAAGCTCGAATCGAATCTTCACGAAAAATCTTCAATTCAGAGAAATCTTGAATACTTTTTATGTCGACATGATGAAATTCATCACTGAGAAAACTCTATTCTTACTTAGCGATACATTTTTAAGGGTCGATTTCGATTGATCGATTAATTATCTCCATGATTCATTACCTTAGATCAGCTGTAAATGAATAGGCTATTGTGGCTTACATATGTTCATGACGTCACTTTAACTATCTCGCAACAAATTTCTTTCATTTTCGTCATTTTGGAACCAAATTTGTGAGTGAACAGAATATCAGGTTAAAGAATAAAAAAAATATGTCAGAAGTTCGATCTCGATACTTTCATGTCCCGCTTCAATGAGTTTTCTATGGCTTTCTGTTCACAAGATCATACAAACACAAAATGACGATTCGCGATGCGTCCGTCGAGAAAGCAAAAGAAAAAACAAAAATTCGCGACGAACTACATAAATACTATGCTTCGCATCGCATTAATAATATATCTCCTGCTTCTTAAGACTCGATTTTTATTGAATTTCAACGCTAAGCCTATACACGAGAGACAGAAGGAAAATCAACTTTGTTATTCCTTGAAAGACAATAAATCGTAAATATCGGACAAATATTCGGAATAGTATGCAAGTTTAAATTTGCATTTGATTTTATTGGTTGATGTTCAAATGACTAATATATATAAAGGTCGCAGCGAACTGCCTGTAGTTCATCATAATTTATTATATCGTTTTATTTGATCTGATTTTTGATGTTTCATCGATAGAATATTAATCATGTATAACTACAAAAATCTTTGTAACAACTTTTTATAGTTATTTTGTTACTTGTCTGTTGTTTCTCTGAAAGCTAAATAACAAATGGTGCGCAATTTCAAATATTACAGAGTATCTTTTTTCTTCCGTACTCTAAACTTACCAGTCAAACTCATGTGTGCATTCATGCTACTAATGCAGATACTGTGAATTTCTATAGTTTTCGATTAAAACGTTACTTTTAAGTTCAGGATTACCGTGAACGTTTGATTAAAATATTTGAAAATATATACATTAAGAAATCTTGATAGAAAAATGCTATAAGACTAAAATCCGATCAATTTCTATACATTTTTTCGTTTGAGATGCAAAATCTAATTGGATTTTCTGGTTGATTAACGCGTTCTGTTCTGAGCAATATTTCTTAATGTATGAAAACAAAAATAAAAATAAATACTTCTTTTTCTTCATATTTTCTCATATCGATTCTATCTTTTTCTATAAGCAATCATCGTAAGAATTTCAATTTCAATAATTGTATTTAAAAACATTTTTGTTTTGTTTAATTTGCAATAGTTATTGAAACTTTATAAGAATCATGAATCAATGGTTTTATTTAGAATAGTTATTGTCTTTAGAGTAAAAATCTATGAATATATTTTGAATCTATTCGTTTTCAGCCGTGCTTTGGTCTTGAGGACGACGATTCTGTTGACTTTGTACTTGAGTAGTATCGATACCATGACCTTTACCAAATACGAAATTTTGATAAATATGTAAAATAATATCCTTATTGGATATTGCAGCAAGACGAGGATCCATGCGCATAATTTTGTAAAGCTCATAAAGTTGTTGGGTGCTTATGGGTGAATTTTTTCCTTCAATAACATTGGATGTTTCAAGCACTGGATTTGCTTGAACAAGAACGAATACAGATAAAACCAAACCGATAAGGCCGATATGAAGCAAGGCAACCATGATGTATAAATGTTAATGAGTCGAGATTTTATATATCTCAAAATAGTAATAATAAAAATATAGTAAGATATAAATTTTATCCTGAATGGTAAAAAAATACCTATTTCAGACAAATAAAATATCGATTTCTCAAAAACTTCTGAAATATTAAAGAATAACTCTTCGAAATTTTACCTTCCTAGTTGAACTAAACTCTACATATTCGATAGATGTATTTACTGATTAAACATTCGTTTCATGCCACAGCTATTAAGTTTAATTCGAATGGATTATAAAATGTTTGCGGACAACTCTTGAATGCTTCAGAATTAATTGTGAGGATTTTCTACACAGATAAAAACAAAAAACAAATTCAAGGGACGCTAGCAAGAAAAAAGGAATAAAATGATCAAATTACGGTTTTTCAGATGGCTTTCTCTCTCTCTCTCTCTCTCTCTCTCTCTCTCTTTGTCTATGTCTTTGCGTATTTACATACGTTGAAATCTAATACATTTTTTTCCGAAAAGCACTCAAAGAATAACTGAACTTGTTCTCTACGTAAATATGTGAAGAAAGAAGCTCCGAGATAATTTGAAAAAAAAACATTTTCAAAGAATAAAACTAAATTTCGTGTTTATGAGCACTTGATTTATATATTTGAAAAGAGTGTATACAAAAGAAAATAAATCTTCGGATTTATTAAAATGATATAAAAAGCTTTTGCCATTTTACCAATAAATCTCCTTATTGGTTAATACTAAGAAAGAAAAAAATCATGCTTTTCTTGAAAACATATCTTAAAAGAAAATACTTGTTCATCGTCGTGTGATCTTGCCATGGCAATTGTTTTTGCTTTATTTCCTTTTGTTTTCTGTGCTTGTCAATCGAAAATAAATAAAACATACTTCAAACCTTTAAATGGGCGATAACCTTCATATGAAAAAACATGCAAGCGTGTCAACATCCGTCTTCATGTTTCCTTTCGAGGTTCTTTTTGTCTTCATGGTGTTGTCCTTCTCTTGTGTGCTGATTTACGAGAAAAATGTTCATGTTATATTAAAAAAAGAACGCGTAGACCTTCGTAGTTGTTGTCGATGCGCTGCTTATAATCTAATTCGATACATTCTAATAAACTTATCAAACGTACAATAGAAAAAGGAACATACAAACAATAGACAATGAGGATAGAAATACGGTTTTTTATTATATCGGAAAGTTATGCTCTAATAGTTGCTTCAGCAACAACATTACCATTTATGACATAAAGAAATATGATATGATTAAATAGCTACTTACGTTTTTTATTCTTAGCTATTGTTTACTATCGTCGCTCAATAAGTGAATTTATTTTCCAGTATTCGAACTGATTATCACATAGCTCGACCTAAGAAAACCCACTATTCATGGAAGTATACTTGATTCAATACAACTATCACTCGCATATAGCTATCTAAAAGAATATTTCTATTTAAAATATCATCATACATGTAAATACTCGTCTTACTAACACTTGTAACCGAGTTGGTTCAATTTTGATTGATTTTGGCTTCTAGTTCATTGAAATCTTGGATGATTAGAAATCATAAGATTTCAATTCTTTCTATTATAGATGACAAAAATTTAACATATTATTTACTAGTAGCTATTGTTTAACAAATAAAAAATAATTTTTATTATCGAGAAAATGAATTCCTAAAATACTATAAGTTTCTAATATATAGAATTCATTTACTTTTTTTTCATTCCCAACTTCTCATAGCACTCTAGTTTTGCTTAAGTGTAAATAACAATTCGAAATACTCTAAAAGCAAATTACAGCAAAAACATTCTTAAATATCTCGAAGAGCTTCTTTAGTGGACATAGAAAAAATTAAACATTCATTCTGTTTAAATTTAATAGAATAAAATCATCTCCAATATTCAAAACAATATTTGAGAATTATTCATTAATTGTACAATTAAATTTTTGTTTATTACTATTCCTACACATGAAATAAAGAGAATTTATTATTAAAGTATTCCTATGAAATAAATATGAGACTTTTCGTGACTAATAATATGAATTGCTACAAAACATATATTCTATCCCCCAGCTACATGAATATTTTTGATTATTTATCCAGAGTTGTTCTTTTAGATTGAATGAAACGTTATTTATTCTTACTGATTGACTAGTTTATGACAAGCTTTCTTTTTTGTGTACCTAAAAAGTGAGTACACTCTAGATTCGGCCAGTGTGTCCGATCGTTAACACGATAACTCTTGAAGGCCTCATCCAATTGTCTTGAAAGTTTGCACACAAAATGATCTCATCAATATCTCAGTCGAGTTTGAAGATGAGAAGGATCCGCCAAGAAATGGCTGAGTTATCGAAAAAAGTATCATTATTGAGCAGGCCATCCCTGAGGGGAGGGGGGAGGGGGGAGGGTACAGGGATTTTTCAAAAAAATCTTTTTCTCGGAATTATTCAAAACATACATAAATCGACGCAGTTTTTGCAGTACACATAACAATCGGATGCGANCCCCCCCCCCCCCCCCCCCCCCCCCCCCCCCCCCCCCCCCCCCCCCCCCCCCCCCCCCCCCCCCCCCCCCCCCCCCCCCCCCCCCCCCCCCCCCCCCAGGGATTTTTCAAAAAAATCTTTTTCTCGGAATTATTCAAAACATACATAAATCGACTCAGTTTTTGCAGTACACATAACAATCGGATGCGAATCCGACGTTTCCTCATTTATTAATGGTTAGATTAGATGCGACAAAAGATATTTGTTTCTATTATCATGCAAATGTTGATGCTTTTGTAAAAATATGATTGTATCAATAATTATTTTGTGGCTCTGAAAGATTAATATGTTTGATAATTAAGGCTATTTGGTACGCTAATATTGACATCGTCTGATATTATTAATATAAACATAAATCAAAATAACCTTGAATATTAATTCAATCAGACATCTCTATTTCTCAAGTTTATTGATCTTCACTTTTTTGTTTCTTATCATTCTCATTCATACTATGAATTTTATAGTATGATCAATTCACTACTCAGAATCGATAAAGCATTAAAAATAATTAAATTGCATCAAATTTTCAGGCGGACACTGACGCATTTTTGAGAAATTCATCAAGCAAAAATAGCAAAATAGCTAATCTGGTAACATACATTTCTCTGTAGACTTTCATTGCGTATGAATTATTTTTCTTTCATTTAAAAGAGTATTCTGTTCTCGAGAATTTGAAAAGTGTTTTTTTCGAATGCACAACTATCTTTTTTGTTGAAATTTAACGATAACAAATTGAGTACCTTCCAAAAAATGGCATTTTAAAAAAAACTAATTTCGTGTCACCCTCAGGTACAGGGTGGGTGGCCAGATAGAAAATTGTAAAATTAGAAATCTTTTTATAAAAATCAGAAAACGATCAGAAAGTTTTTTAGGAAAATCAGAAGTTTATCAGAAAGATCATTTTTTGTGAAATAGCGATTTCTGTATAAGATGCTGGCATTAACTATTCCACTACTTCTATGTCATTGGCTGGTACTTCATATCCCAAGATTTGTCACTATAAAGATGAATATTCATCAGTTGATAACGAATCCTTACGAAGAACTCTTTTTTTCCTTTATATGTCGAAATGATATTGCTGTGGCTAATTAATTTACTTCGATTTGTTTCTCTTCACTATCAAACTCAACCATATTAATATCATCCAATAGATAATTCTGTTTCTATTTGTGGAATGTTCAATTAGATAAGATTCTCGAAATTAAGAAAAGAAATTTATCAAATTCTACTACATTGCTGTAGCTGAAGTTGCTGATATAAGTCAGAAATTGCCAACGGATTATTGAGAAAAATAAGGTACCGCAATATACATCTATAATAGTAATGTGCTATAATTGTACTGAACTGCACTAGCAAAACTTTGATCTGAAATAGTTTCGAATTCGGAAAAAAATCAGAAGAAAGTATTAAAATCAGGAAAAATCAGGATATGGTACGAAAATCAGAAGAAATTCAGAAAGAACTTCAAATTTCAGAATTTTTCCTTACTTTTCAGAAGGTCTGGCCATCCTGCTCAGGTACCGATCGAAAAGTGATAATTGCTTTTAAAAGGCAGATACTAGAGGCCCTGCAGCCTAATATACTCTTTCAAACAAAAGAAAAATACGAAATCTACAATGAATATTTATAAAAATATTTGTTTTGACGAAATTAACTATTGTTGACCTTCATTTGATGAATATTTCAAGAAAATATTATGATATTCCAAAGAAAAAGCTTTGTAAATCGATTAATTTTTTAGCTGCAAATCAATTTTAAGAGAGAACAGTTTTAATCCTGATAGTAACCAAATGATGAATAGTGGAACCATGGAATCGGAAAAAAAAGTACTAAAAAAAACACAACTTTCAGTTTCAAATAAACATTTATAATGGATTGTGCTAAAAATTAGCTATTCTTATTATAATCAAGTTAATTCTTTATTTATCTAATGCCTTTCAGTTCACTAAATCACACAGAATACTTCTATCGACGTGGACTTGACTAGAAGCATGAGATGCCCGGTTATAATTCGAATATAAACAGAGATATATACTTACAGTCAGAGTTGCCATCTAATGAAGTCCAAAAAGCGGAAAACTGATCTTAAAAAGCGGAAAATGGCGGAAAGAAAAATAGAAAACGCGGAAAAAAAAGCGGGAAAAAAAAGGCGGAAGCTTATATTGTTGCAGATTTGTGGTGCTTCTGAGAATATTAGGCATCTTTTTTCCTATTTATTACATTTCTTTTTATTTCATCAAAGTTTCAAAACATAAAAAATGATGGCTCACGGTATTTGTGAACAATAAGAATTGATTTAATAATATCAAATATTATTCTGTACTTAGGTTTGACATGCAACACGTTTTATACGAAAAAGCGGAACAGCGGAAAAATAGCGGAAAAATAGCGGAAAAAATTGAAAAAGCGGAAACTTTCCGCAAAAAGCGGAAGAGGTGGCAACCCTGCTTACAGTACCAAATAATGAGGAATAGTTGTAGATTTAGTTATGTATACATATATATATATATACATACTCTTCCATGTAAATAGAAATAGATTTAGTTTTAGTTATTTATACACATATATGAACATAACTTCCATAATCGAATAGTAAAACTATTCATATGAGACTCTACTAGTTTTCCTGTTTCATAAGTTCATTTATATTTGACCTCCGACTAGATGACTCGCAAATTCACTGCCTCAGAAAATCTTTGGTTACGCAACCGACCCTTTATTATCTGTGTCGTGTCGTGGGAGCGCGCAGAGTCGCGACTCATGCTCGTCTCTGTGTACACAGTACAATATCTTTTTCAATTGTGAATTGTGCTTTATGCATCTAGTTATTTTAGAGTCGATTGGTTTTGTTCGCATATACTAAAATAATCGAGTTTTTTTTTCATTTAATCTTTTATTTTCAGTATGATTTTATTTTTCTTTCCGTTCATCAGCTTCTGAGACTATGTATATATAAATAAAACTAAAACTATCGCTAGCTATATGGTTATGGTTAGCTTTTTTCGTTTTTACCGTTTATATTCGAAGTCGAATTAGGCAGCTACTCACTAGAAGATATTCTGAAAATTTTTACTATCGCTTTTTCGATCATTATCAAATTGCTGACTTCTTTTTTGAGTTAATATTTTCATTATTACTTAGATCTTTTTCAAGGTGTATGGTTGATAATGTAATCTTATATAAGTGACCTTTACAGTCTTAAACTCATCAATTTCAAGGGTGATTCTATTCTATTGATCAATATATGTAAATTTGCCATCAACTGTTGAAGTTTAATTCAAAATTTTAATCGTGCTTGTCAAAATGAATTGCATCTTTGTTTTTCAGCGATCTTATTAAAACATTTTTATATAATCGAAAAAACTTTCTCTTCACTAATATTGACTTTTTCTGTAACACATTCAATAAAAATTACAAACGAATAAAAATAGTAGACGGCACTCAATAAAAAAAAAAAAGTCTGGTCCTTGAAGACATATGCTTATTTTTAGTAATCTTCATAGACGAACTTTTTACATGGTCAATATCACTTGTAATCAACGTGCAAATATGATATGGTATTAAATGAGGAAAAAAATCTTTTCTTTTCCTATACATATAGCTCAGACGCTTCGAATAGAAATTGGAGAGAGAGAGATAAGCATATACCAAATAGAGAATATTTGAAGATTTCTAATTAAAGAAAATATATATGGCATATATCATCACATGAAAGTTTTCGATCGATTGATGTCAGCATTGAATAAGAATTAGAAGAAGAAAGAAAAGTTAAATTAAGTCTATTTTTAGACAAAAAGATTTTGTTGGTGATTATCTCTATATACTATATTAATACATATTTTATGAAAAATAGAACAAACATAAATTACGTAAAAGAAATATAGAATCATATAATATTCTTCTGATGAATTGAAATCAATAAATAATTACTCATGAATGTTTAAATATTGACCAATCATTTTTTTTCATTCATCCAACTTTATTTGCTTTTAATTGCATTATTTATTGCAATAAACATATTTTCAAGGTTTAAGACATGAATTTTAAATATCTTCTTTCTATAAAATCAATATGATCAGACAATATTGGTGCTAATCTGTACTAGTGTTTTTATTTTCGGTTGATAAACATACGATCAAATGTTCATCGAAGCGAAACCAATGATAATTTTCTTCTCGATTGATAAGAGTTATATTTTGTTCTATTGATTACACTGATCGATTTACTTTTCAATCTATACTTTAATGATTAAAAAAAAGCAAAGGAGATGCATAAATTAAATATATATCATATGAATTTCATATCGATTACTTTAATGAAAATACGAGGATACAAACAAATAGAAGTCTAGTGATTTCTTCAATTTATATCTAACGATTTATCTTTTTTTTTCTCAGCCATTGGCAGACTCATAAAACTTCTTTTTTTTCTTCGTCGTATAAGTATTAGAGTATATATTCTGTTTGAAATAAATTCATGAAACCTTTGATGATCGTCATTCAACAAAATTCCATGTTCATCATGACTTATGTCAATATTAGCTATTTATAAGGATGTCATATGAACGTATATAACACGTTGGTTTATTCATTTTTTTACATACAGATCTTTTCATCAAATAAAGCAAAGAATTTCTCATCAATCGTTTCTTTTTTTTATTTTCTTTTTGCATCTTCTATTACGCGACATGCATTGAACAGCAGAGAGAAGAACTTCTCATCACTATTTCTTTGTCTGAGAGAAGAAAAATGCATATTTGTCATTTGATTGAAGTATGTGTATATGTGTATTCTCTTCATCTTGGTAGTCAATCAGTCACATCAGCAACTATCACACGATCTCGAAAGATATACTATGAAATTGTGTTATTTATCAGCGATACTAACAACAGCCAATGTTGATTTATTCTTCGTCTGTTTCTCTCTTCTTGATGCCTTTCATTTTTTTTTGTTTCTTTTGCGGTTTTCTCTTTTTTTCTTCTTCTCTTCTGTCTCGTTCTTTTTCTCTCGCCGCACTACTACTCAAATTACTTTTCGATCTCGCGCTTTGCCGTCTCTCTTTCGAAAACATTCTGAACATACTCAATTACTAACTCCATACGCTCTTTCTCAGGTTCTTGCACTACACCCTGTAACTTACACTCGTTTAGATTGATAGCAACCAAACAAACAATTCTATCGGAAAAATTAATTTGTATCAATCCTACAATTGTTTTCTTCCTCTTCATAACGTCCTGAATTCTGCCGAACGTAAAAGCATACAACATGCAGCAATCGTAGTGACACTTTTTGTATAAGCTGCATTATTATTTTGTCATACCCAAGAGACAGTCATTACTAATCATAACAAAATATACATAATTAAACGAATGACAATAACAACAACAACAACAACAACGTAATTACATCCAAAGCAACAATAAAGATGGGAACGGACACATGTCGTCCGTGCGCTAAATATCTCCTTCTAGCTCTAAACCTCGTTTTTTGGGTAGGTAAACATTTGCATGAATATATTAAAAGCACATATATGTGAATGTAAAGTATTAGAAGCTTGTAAAAATATGTTTATTTCAAATGTATCAAAGAAAGAAACTGATTGAGCCGCAAAAGCTTTTTTCTTTTGGCAAGAGAAAAAAAGGAGACGCGTTGTTCATTCATATTCAAGTTTAAACTACTTGACAATTCATAATTTTGAATGAAACCCAAAGGGAAAAAAGAATCATTCGTTCTCTTAAAACAGACACTATTGACATTTACGAGTGAAAATAACTATTAAAAAACAGATTATTGAACAATGACATGATACAAAAATTAATTTTTTCGTTCTAAATTCTTCATTAATACTTACTAATCCTTATACATACTTACATGTTATTGTTCTATCTTTTTTGTTTTGTTTTGTCATCTATCTAGTTAACTGGTACTACCCTTATAGTTCTTGGCGTTTTATTCCTATTACGTCCTGAAGTACAAAATGTTATACATTTATTCAATTTTACTGTTCTACCATTGTCATCTATAGAAATCTCAGCAATTTTTATTATCATTGTCGGCATTGTTATCTTCCTTGTTGGACTTTTTGGACTTTGTGGTGCCAAGCAAGAATCACGCACTTGCCTCATACTTGTAAGTTGTAATTGTCATTCAATTATGATAAATAGACGAAAAAGTTAATATGCAACTTCTTCGTTCCTTTTTTTTTAGTATATTGTTTTGGTAGCATGTGTTCTTTTAATGGAATTGGCCTTATTTGCACATATGGCCTTGCATCATGATCGATGGGAAGTATTTATAAAACAACGACTTATATTAGAAACGAAAAAATACAACCATTTGAATCCAAGTCAATATGAGCGAGCAATTGACTACGTTCAAAGCAAGGTAAAAATGAAGGAGAAAGCGTGAATAAAAATAAATAAAGAATGAAGAGTTGCGTAAGAAGTAAGAACGAAATGAATGATGTGCACAGTTGGTGCGCTTTTATTCCAAAGTTCACAATGTCTATATGTCGTCATATTGAGAAGACAAAAAAATTGTAACAAAAAAGAAGAAATAAAAAGAGAATGAACAAGACATTGAAGTCGACAGAATATTATGAAAGCAGATCTCGTAGTGATAATGTTAATGTTAATGATGCTACTGATGATGATGTAATAGCTATCCATACATTTGATCTAACAGTGATTTTTCACTTTCTAACATATACATTTATGGGTTAGGTTGAATGATGAACTTTTTTTTTAATATTCATTATGATCATCTTTATGTTGTTTACTCGATATAATCAAAGGGCAATTACAATCGAAATATTGCACAACATATTTTTAATAGTACGGACGCTTGTGAATAAAGCAAAAGATCTTGTAGACACCAGACATCACAGGAAGAAAGATTCGTTTATCTATTTCCCATTCTAGTAATCCTATTAACTAGGCAAACAAACTGGCATCGATCAAACAGCGATTGCAAGTCATGACGCAGTCCTCTGTTTCTCGTCTTTGATTGTCCTTGATTATAATTCATCATATATAAGTGAGAGTCGATCAAAAAAATTGTCAAGGACATAGAAGAAAAATATGATGTCTCACTTCAAATAGTGCTAGACGTGTAGAATAAACAAAAAAAGAAAATAATGTGCTTAGACAAAAAGATTTTAAAAAAAATATTCTCTTCGTGATTTATTTGTAGTATCAATGTTGTGGTATTGATTCAGCATATGACTATGGTGATTCAATTGTTCCGAAGTCTTGCTGTTCTACGCCAAATGCATTATCTACTGTAGCGACTTGTACTGTTCATCATGTTAGTTTAAATGATACACTCGGATGTTTTCGTATATTAGCAAATGAAGCAATATACTGGATAAAATTTTTTATTATTGCAGAACTTGGTTTATGTCTTATGTCGGTAAGTGAAAAGACATATGTTATCAAATTCGATTTATTTTGACATACAATATTTAGTTAATCGGCATCTATCTCGCCATTTGTGTCTGCCAGAATGCAATGTTTTATGATGGATACATTCAAACGCCATATCGCGTTTGATGACAATAACAACGATACAATTGTGCATACCTATCTTTACATTTTTATAACAGAACATTTTTCTTTTATTATACTTGATGGTAAATATAAAAAGAAAACAGTTGTCGCTTTTTACGTTCTCTTTGCAGTCAACTTGCTTCTTCTATTTGTACTCAGGACATTTGTTTTATCTCTAAAAACATTCTTTTGTATTTCTGTGTGTATATTTAGAATATTTAGAAATGAAAATCAAATAAGAAGAAACGATTAACTTTGTAGTACTCCTAGAATAATAATAATAATAATAATAATAATAATAATAATAATAATAATAAAAGATGTTGATCAAGTAAACAAATTATATCTCTATCGTATATAGTTATCTTTCTTCTTGATCTTATGTTCAGAAAGTTGTATAGTATGTAGTACTATTAAGTGATTGATTGATGGATGGATGAAGTAATAATCTCGATATAAGACTACTTGCATAATGTAGCTTGTCGACAGTTTGTATATTGTTCTTAAACGGAGAAAATGTATTGTACATAATTCGGTCAAGGTTTATGTTCAATCCTTCTTCTTCTTGAAAGAAAAACATTACTAGCACAACATCATGACAACTCAAATAGAACTAATTATCGAACATACGAATAAGCTATTGTTTTTTGAAAATAAATCTAAATATCATCTAAAAGGTTTGTTGTCTTTTGTATTAAATATCTTCATTGATGTTACTTTTTTGTTTTAAATTCTTCTTCGTCCAAAAGATGTATGAGATTTTTGTTTGAATTATTTAAATTATTATTAACTCCGCTGATTCTTATTGAATTAATAAGTAAATGTTGGAAGTTTGACCAATTGAGTTTACTTATTTCTTGTGGATGATACCGAGTGTTACTCAAGGATAAAATGATATTTCTTTTATTCCATCTGCCTCTCTTCAATCATCCATTTCCCGGTGTCCTTGTATTATGGGATTACATTCTATTGAAAATATGGAATGTTTTGGGTATTACATTATCCAAATAAATCAACTGTATTTTTTCCATAGGGTTAAATTCATTATTCAAACAAATTATTATTACTCAATTAAATTACTATCTATTAGCCTATGGGATTAAGAAGGTTCACTTGCTTGTTCTGACCTATTCAAACGTTTAAAAAATAGCTTGTAAATGTCAGCTTATTTTTATACTAGTTTAATTGTAATTACTATTCGTTTTCATTTTCATGTAAAGAGACATCCCGTGACCTTGAATAAGTAGTTATGAAGAATAAGCTGACAATGTCAACATGAATAATGAAGGATAAAATCTTTTATGACTGTTCCTATTGCAGTTGTGACAATTCGCATCTGTGACATATTACATTTAGCAGATTTTTACTTGCAATGATAGAGATGAAAGTTTTCCATTCGAAATCATTTTGTAAGTATTTGAAAAAAAAACGTTGATCTACAGTGATTTTTCTACTATTATTTCACAATTAACAATGATTTTGATTTATTCATGAAAACAGAAGTTTTTGTGTTACATCGAGAAAAATGCCTATTATAAAACAAAATTAATACAAAAAAATGAGACAAAAACATAAACTAGTCCAAATAAAACTATTGCTTTATGTCAAAGAAATAATCTAAGGAATTTGTTATTCTTGCTAATTTAATACTATCTAATATGTGATACTATAGTGATTATGACGAATATTTAATCACATGAGTTGATTTTGCTTAACGCAAACTCTATGCAATATATACATAACAATGAGTCTTTAGTTCAAGTTTTTCGTTAATCTAATTCTTATTTCCATACACTATGTCCTCCTGTTGTTGAAGATGATTGTTGTTGTTGTTGTTGTTGTTGTTGTTGTTGTTGTTGCTGCTGTTGTGACTGTTGATGTTTTGGTTTATCTTTTTTAATTCTTGTCTTTGGTTGAGAAAGTCTTTCGAATAAATCATTTGAATTACTTTGCTTAGTATTATGCATTTCATAATCAAGTTTTTTCCTAGCGCCACCACCACCGCCATGTGCTGTTGTTGTTGTTGTTATTGATGCTGCTGCTGATGATGGTTTACGTTGTCGTGGTGTTATAATATGTGATAAATGAGATTCACCATGTAGAACTAAATCATCAACAATTATTTTAGGATCTCGTTCAGTAAAATTTAGTTGATCAATAGATAATTGTATATCATGTAAAGATCGATTTGTTTTAGACAATGGATGTTCTACAAAGAAATTCGATAAAATAAATTTTTTAAAAGTAACCAACGCTGAGAATTTACTATTTGATGTAGTGTTATCTTGAGTTGGTGAACGCTCGAGCAACATTTTAACATATCTTGTTAATGATTCATTTGTTGATGATGTTTGATCTGTTTGATGATTTTCAATACTATCTCTTGATATAGTTATTTGTACTTCCGGTTGGTGATCAGTTAAATTTGATGGCATTGAAGATGTCGAACGATAAGATGATATGGCTGGTTGATAAATATGATTTATATTTAAATTACTATCAAAACTAAAAGAATTCGATGATGAAGGTTGATGTTGTTGTTGTTGTTGTTGCTGCTGCTGCTGGTCGGAATTATGTGAAGGATAGATTGAAAATAATCCGCTATTAGTTATAGGATCTGCTGATAGGCTTCGATTAGTTAATTGATTACTACTGGAATGAAATGATGGTTGACTAATTGTTTGTGGATACCATTCTTGTAATGAATCAATTGGAGTTGAACGATAAAATGGTGAGTGAATATTACTATGTGGTTGCGAAGATAATATATGACTAGAATAGAAATAATAAGTATTGTCTTGAGTGTGTATATTTGTTTTTCTCAAAGAGACAGTCTGCAGAGTAAAGAGAGAGTGTATGGAAGAATCCTTCCGATGCGTTCTGAAACATTTCGAGGTTCAATAGATTTTACGGTTCTGTTGAAAATGTCTGCAATACATAATAAATTCGAGAAGCTGGCAGAAAATTGATGTCCAATTAAGAAATGCGTATAAATCTTTTACTAATTTAGCTTAATCTAATATCCCTTTTTATTGTAAAGAAACGATTGTAAAGATTGTAAATACTGTTTAACGATTTTCTCTTGACCTTCTTTAGTACTTGAGTTCAAGACAAAACGTTTTAACAGTATTTTAAAACTTTCCATTAAACAATTAGATTACGATTGCTTAACAAAAGGATTTATACGCATTACTGAAATGGACCCATATTTTGGAAAACCTTGTAGTTTAGTTTCAGAGTAAATATTGATAACCTTCTAGGTAGTCTAGCGACGTGAAGAGTGATATATAAAATAGAAAATATGATCTTCTTCTCAATCTCATATATAGCTAACGCTGGAAATGGCATTGAAAGAATAAAAATGATTCGCAGTCAAACTTCACTTTGAACTTGATAAAAAGAAACATCTGTAATTAGAACTCTTACTTTTGATTGTTTTCAAATTTTTGTGAAGTATTTTCTTGTTGCATTGATGATGGTGGCTGAGAATTGAATTCATAACCATTGGCAACTCGATTAGTTTGATCAACCAGTGATTCAATACGAGATGAGAGCGACCGTATGGTTGACATATTAGTTGGATGATCGTTGTTAGTTAATGGTAATGCAGGCAGGAATTCAGTAGGTTTTGCTTTAACTTGACTATCACTGATCTGTAATTTCATTTGATTTATTGTTGTAGATGATAATGACGACGGTGGATTAAGGATTTCATTTTTTTGAAAATTTGTTTTTGTTGATCCTTTAAAAAGCGTTGTTTCGAAAACATCTTGTAATTTTTTTGCTAAATCTTGTCGTTCAGCATTGGTTGTTGATTGTATATGTTCCATCTCATTTTTCATTTGATCAAGTTTATTTATTAATACTTGAACACGATTTTCATGTTCATAACGTTCATGAGCAACAATTTGTTCATGTTTTTCTTCTGAATCAACTAGTTTACGGCGATGCAATTCATTTATTTCTTGTTCAATTTGAATATGTTTTGCATGTTGTTCTTCAAGACGTTGCGTAAGCTAAAAAAACAATTTAAATTAGAAGTCAATTTATGATCGTTATTTTTGTTTAAAATCAATATACTTTAGTTTCAGCATCACGCATAAGTTGAATTTTAAGAGATTCAGTTTGAGCACGATATTTTGCTTCACGCAATTCAAGTTCCATTTTTAATACATTCTTAAATTTAAAAAGAAAATTAATATTATAATTTTTGTTTTCAGCATAGAATTATTACTAACATTTTCACGGCGTTGTTCATCGAGATCATTTTCTAATTGACGAATTTTGAGTTGATGATCGCTATTTAATTTATGTTGGTCACGTAACATTTGCTCGATCTGTTCTTGTTTTTTGTCCAATTCAGATTGTATATCATTAAAACGAGTTTCGCCATTTTTTATTTCATTACGTAAATCACTTTCAAGTGTAGACCATCGTTGTTTAGCCTTTAAAAACGCTTGATAAAGTTATATCAAAGAAGAATAGTTTTACTATTTAAAAAACTTTCATCTTAATTGAACAATCAACTGTGCTTTTATGCAAATAAATCTTTTTTTATGCTAATTCAGACTAGCGTATCTCTATTTCGAATTCTCTAGTCTGACGAGTCGAATTTAAAGTTTAAGATAAGATTTATCTCAATTCCGTTGTAGTCGTATTTCAAAATCAATATCTCTATGAAACACTGAAAGTATTATTGGAGTAAGTTAAAATCAAAGGTTAGTAAAATTATTTTCACCTGTTCTGCATCTTTTGTTAACTGTTGTATACGTTGTTCATTTTGTTTAATTTTTGATTGTAAATTTTCATAATCTTCTTTTTTATTTTCACTATCTCTTGTTAAACGTTCAATAAGTAGAGTCTTTTCATTTAATTGTATATCAAATTGTTGTTTCTCATTTGAGATTTTTTCTCGATTCGTTTGTTCAAGTTGTTTCAATTGTTGCGTTAAACTATTCAATTTTGTTTTATATTCAGTTTCTTTCTGTTTCCATTCATCAACAACATTTGGTATCATTTGCTCGAGCTGTTTCATACATAAAGTTTTCTTATGATCATTTGCACGTAATTGTATTAATTCAGATTCTGCTTCTGTTAAACGCTGTTGTTGAACATCGACTAATGTTTCCAATTGTTTTCGACGACTACGTTCACTTTCTAATGATGATTTATAATATACTAATTCAGGATTTGCTTCATTAAAAAGTTCTGTAAATAAAAATAGATAAATTTTTATAATTGCACAATATATTGTTCTTTAACCTGTTCGAGGCAGTGGATCATCAGTTGATAGTTGTTCATTCGTTGGTGGAACTTGTTTTCGACTCATTGAATGAAGTAATTGCCGTGCACTTTGTAATTGCAATAAACAAGGATCTGACGATTGAGATTCATTCGATGGTATTAAACTATGCATTAGAAAAAAAAGTACACGAGAATAAATTAGATCTATGTTGAGTATTTAATTTACTCTAGATTTTCATTTTCTTTTTCATGTAGTTTATGATCAGGTGTTGATGTAAACATTGTTGCTGATTGCGGACGATTAGAAGAATTTACTGAATCAGTTATATTAAATCCTTCGAATAGTAGACGTCGTTGAATACGATTCTGTGGATCATTAGTAATAGTTGTAAATGAAGACATAGAGGTCAACCAAAAAATATCAAAGTGATTTATTTGACCGCAAAAGAAAAGAACGAACAGTAGTCGATTGTGGTCAAATCTTTGTCTAACTAGAAACCATGCTGAAATTGATCGCAAAGTAAACTCCTCTGTATTTTTCTTTTCATTTGAACAGAATAGAGGTCTCCATTTTATTTCAATGGGTGTCGACAGTTCAACCCAATCAAATTCTATTGAATAGCTTCGCCGCTTAGCTTATCTTAGAGTTTTATACAAGGCATCATTATGCAGATGATTTCAGCTGTTGTATTCTCACTCGTGCATTCAAATTAATAATTCGCTATAATAACAGAACTGAATAACCTGTGATATAAATAGGACATGATACACTAATGCAAGCTTTGCTAATTTCATGATTCAATAATTTTATCTCATTCGTCTTTCTGACTAGCTAGCGATCAGTCGCATTTTTTTAGGCCTCTCGGTTGAAATTCTCCGTATTTTGCACGTAGTGACCTCGATTTTTTGCTCTGCTTTTTTCAACATATTTTTAGTCGAGTAGCTGTCTAATTCGAGTTCGAATATAAATGGAGAAAAGAAAAAGTTCAACTAACACTAAATTTAGGAAAAGATTTAGTTTTAGTTGAACTTTCCGATAGATGCGACATATGAATACATATATACTCTTCACCCGCACCCACATTGGAGCACTCCTCCATGGTATCCATCACCCACAATCACACTTTAAGTATTCCGGATACCCTTCACCCACACCCAACAAAATATGATTTATTTTTTCTTTTATATTTGTCTTAATTTTTTGTTAAACAAAGAAAAATAACTGATTTATTATGTACGAATATAAGATTTCCTGGAAAACATGTTTAATAATTATCAAGGGTTGAAATTAGAGTTATGGAATTATTTGATGTTTGATGACATACAACAGAATCAAGTCTGCTAATTTTCCAAAAGATCGTTATGTTTTAAATCAATATTTAATATTTTAATGGTATTATAGTAAGACTTCATCAGTAATTGTTACTTTTCTAAGATCTGTACTTATTGAATACAGAAAAAAAAACGAATAATTATGAATTAAACTGATTTTAATCTAATTATTTCTTTCTTTTTAGTTTTACGTGATAGAAAACAAGTAAAAACATAAATTCAAAATCAAGATTTATCTGAATCTTTTTGTTGTTCTTTATAATGTGTAAGAACACGTGCTGAAGGATCAGTTTGATCACCACACCATTTCGGAAGCCAGATATATGGTGTAAGATGTGGTTGTCCAGGATAGTATTCTTCAAATATTGATCTAATTTTAAAGAAAATTCAATTGAACGATTAGTTCTTCGAAGAGAAAAAAATATGAATATTATTTTTACCGATATAAAAATGCTTCTTTAGTCATTGGTGTATTAAATGGATATAAGGTTGCAGCACGTTGTAGATCTACATCAGAGACTTGTGTTTCAGCATGTTCTTGCATGTATTGAAAAAGTGATTTTGTCTTTGCAGCAACACCATCAGAAAAAGCTTCTTTTGGACGCCAAAGAATTTCGGATGGTATCAAATCAAGGCCATCAAAAGCTTTCCTATTTTTGTTTTGAATAAAAATTTGAAAAAACTCACGAGTTATAATTTTACCTCAAAAGATATTTTTCTGCCCGTGCTTTAGTTGGGGATCTTTCAGCTGCTGGTAACGAGAGATAATAAGATGTAAATGCATGATCAAGAAATGGTACACGCAATTCAAGTCCATGAGCAGCTGTTGTTCGATCAGCACGAAGTACATCGTAGAAATAAAGATCTTGACAAAGACGACGAGATTCTCGATCGCCTTCTTCTGGTGTTGGTTGTCGATAAAAATAAATATAACCTTGACAAACTTCATCAGCACCTTCACCAGATAGTACAACAATAGTATCTGTTTTTTCTTGGATATATTTCGCGACAAAGTACATTCCAATTGATGCTCGAATTGTTGTAATATCATAAGATTCAAGTGATTTAATTATATTTTTTAAATGTTTTATGGCATCTTCTGCTGAAAAACGTATTTCATGATGCTCAGTACCCAAATGTTTAGCAACCTAAATTGAAATTTAGGTTTAATTTAATAATTAAATTTTAGTTGATATAAAATTTTAAGTACTTTTCGTGCAGCAATCAGATCAGGACTTTCGTCGTCCATTCCAATAGAAAATGTTTGAATTGGATAATTGATACCTTGTTTGCGTGCTTCTTGTATAGTTAAAGCAGCAATTATACTTGAATCAAGACCACCAGAAAGCATACTACCAATACGTCGATGGGACATTAAACGCATTCGAACAGCATTGGTAAGATATGAACGAATATTTAATGAAATATCATCTTAAACAAAAGCAAAGCCTTGTTTTTTTTTCAGTTGTCTTGTTTTTAATGAAAATTATTTTTACCTGTTAAAGCAACATTGACGTCATATTTTGGAAATACTCCAATAGTATGAAAACGTTCCTTTTTAATGAATTCAGCTTTTTCATTCTCATCTAATTTATATTCTTCATAGGTTCCCGGTTCGAAAGCTTCAATTTTTAATGGTTGATTTGATGCTACTGTTACACCTTCAAGACCTAAAGAATTGTAGAAAAAGAAAATTATATTAATTTCAGAAAATAAATCTTTGAAAATTGCAACAATACCTTTGGCTTCGGATGACACAGCTAAAAATCCACATTCAGTAAAGATACGAAATGAAGGTCGAACACCGAATGTATCACGACCAACATAAATTTTTCGTTCTTTTGTATCAAATAATACAAAAGCAAAAACACCATAGAGTTGTTCACACATAAATCGTGCACCTTTATCATTGTATAGATGAATTAAAATTTCTCCATCGCATGATGTTTCAAATTTATAACCAAATTTCTTTTGAGCCTAATTAAAAATTTATGATTTATAAAAACAACAAAATTTGCTTCTTTTTCTAATGTTATTTCTACCTCTCTGAAATTATAAATTTCACCATTATAGGTCTAAATAGAAAAGAAAAATAATTTATTCATAGTGAGTATTTTTGCAAAACTAACCATCCATATGTGTGGTAGTGCATGAAGACGCATTGGTTGCATTCCAAAAATATCATCGACAACTGCTAGACGATGAAAGCCGAATACACATTTTGAAAAATGATTAACATTTTCAAAACGAAAACAATCAGGTCCACGATGGGCAATGTTAAAACAACCTGGAACTTGTTGATGAGTATCAACGGTTGAACCAAATATACACCAAATTCCACACATCTCAAGTCTACAAAAAGAAATTATAAATAAAAGTGTAAAGTCCATAGAATAAAGCTCGTATATATTGCGCGGTGCATTGCACTAGAATATATAATATGAGCCACTAGTTTAATGTATTGCATCAGATGATCAAACGCGAACGACTTCATTCTTTTTTCTTTCGTTCTGCCAATACAGGGGATCGACGAGACGCATAACGATTTTAACGTTGTTTAATTGTCTATCGTAGAATAGAACAAGAAAAAGAGAATATAGCTCATATTGACCACTTCGAATAACCGACCTTAAATGCACTCTTTTAACCTATATATATATATATATATATATAAAGAGCTTTATTTGAGTGGGTTGACCTTATTGGTCCTGACCACTTTGAAAAGAATTTTCTTCAGCGCAAAGGAAAATGAACAATAGAGTGAGATTTAATGATTGTGTTAATACACAAAACTTTTAAGAATTGGCAGTTTCAACCCTCCGTCTTTTTTTTTCTTAATAGGACGAGTGGTTGCTACTGAAAAATTTCATAAGTTCGCCAAAGAATGTTGTCGAGTTGTTTTGAAATGTGACAGTACGAGTGCTGGGTCGACCTTGCGGCAGTGATGGAATATATGCCTTTTCATTGTAGTGTTGTCGTGTCTTATTAACTATATTTTTGTGCTGTATATAGGATCCAATCAGTTCTTGTTCATATTGCTGGATGTTGTTAAAGCGTTTTATTAGACTTTTTCTATATTTCTCTTCGAGTGTTGGTAGTTTAAAGATTTC